TTTTTTTTTTTTTTTTTTTTTTTTTTTTTTTTTTTTTTTTTTTTTGTACAGTTCTTCCAATTTATAGTAGGTTCTAGGGATTGGACTCAGGTTGTCAGTCTTGTACAGCAATTATCTTTATCTGCTGAGCCTTCGCACTGGCCCTCCAGGCTGCTATATTATTATAGGAAAAATGCACCTGAAAATAAAATGGAAACATATGGACAAAGATTTATTTAAAATTAGCAAATAAACTTTCGGAAGTTTCTGGGTGAGTATAGCTGTTGTTCAGCCTCTAAACCCTTTTTTGTCTTCGTGGACAATTGACATTCACTGTGAGAAAACTCAAGCTCTTGTCTGAGCCACAGTTGAAACATTGGGTTACAATTGTTGCAGGGTGCTTTGTTTATTAATGAAATGTCGCGGACAGAATGTCTTATGGCTGAGTGCTGTTTGCTTTGGATAGACTACTTCATAGTTCTCTCAAATTGTATTTTATTGTTTTTGCTTTTGTTTTTGTTTTAAGATAGGATCTCTCTCTACATAGGCCTGACTGACCTGAAGTCACTTTGTGGACCAGGCTGGCCTTAAACCACAGAGATTTTTCCCTTCCCCCTGCCTCCTGAGTGGCGGGATTAAAGGTGTGCACCACACACCAAAGGTTTTCAGTTGTGAATTTTGTAGGACATAACACCTATAAATAATTACTCTGAGCCCGATACAATATAGGCACTCACTAAATCGTAACAGTCAGTATGGTCTTAAGTGACATAATGCAATTATGAAGGGGCCTCTTGAGCTGCTCATAAGCTTTGGTGATTTAAAAAGTGAAATCAGAGCTTTTCCAGCCTAGTCATATTTGCTCTCAGTCTGCTTTTGCTTTAAAAGTAGAGTCATGAAGAAATTACACTTGACAAAAACTTGGAATGCGCAAGCTGTGCCATAGATGAATGATGTTGCGTCTCTTCACTGATGTTAGGACATGGGCTTTGTTTGGGTGATTTGGCTTGGTTTCCCATATGGCTGATGTGCAGCCAGGGTTGGGAACCTGCGTTTTCAATATCTTCCCTTGTTTTCGGGGTCACGTAGCACAATACGATAAATCCACTCTTAATGACTTTGAAAACTCATACAGTAGGATCTGCATAATTTTTCTCTGACCTCTCCAGAGTCTCTACATGACTCTACTTCATCCTTCTGAGGAAGGAGAGTAAAGAAGTGGGTCAGAGATTGGGGTGGAGGCATTTCAGTTTGTAAGAAGGTCAGGACATTAAGGGTTGCCTTCCGGGTCTGTTGCCAGATTTGTATTGCTAGGATAAAAACCTCCACAGCGGAGGTGAAGGTGAGGGAATATGTGAAGGACACAGTACTTCCATCATGGTTGCATTCTGGACCCTGTGTGACATGCTGCTATGTGTGTACTTTGTCTTTCTCAATGTTTCCTCACCTTCTAATGTGTTTTACAGTATTCACACAAACATCATTCTTTTAAGTTTTAGTTATTCTTCATTAACTTAGTTGGTGTCCCAAAAGTCAAATTCAAAAGATGAGCTGTTTTCAAGGGAAATGTTTAGTTTAGTTCTAGTATTAGTTTAGAAATCAAATTTCACGTTAGGCTCTATATGTGAATCTAGAAGCTCACATTTCATATATTTCTTTAAAATTGTGGTTACAAGTTGAGTATCGTTTATCTGAAATACCTAGAATGAGAAGTGTTGGGGTTTCAGATTTGGTTGTGGATTTTGGAAATCTGTATATATAATGAGGTAATTTGGGGATGGGTGCTATGTGGGGCTGATACAGAAGGATTTCTGGGGCTTCCTGGCTCCCAGTGTAATTCTAGCTCAGTGAGAAACCCTATCTCAAAAGGAGGATGGTGGTGAATGCCTTTCGTCCTAGCACCGAGGAGGCAGAGGCAGGTAGATCTCTGAGTTTGAGGCCCAGTGTGGTCTACATAGTTATTTCAAGACCAGGCAGGGCTAGAGGAAAACATGGCAGGAACTTTGACATCCTGTGGCTTCTGCACCTGCACAGGCATGCACATTGCACATATATGCATGTATACTACACTACACATACCATCATACACATACCACACACACACAAATTAGGACTTCGGAACATTTTGAACTAGGAATGTTCAACCTATATATAGTTGTCCTTCTGAATGCTGTGATTTTTTTTTTACACTCTATTCACTAATTTTGTGTGTATGTGGGTGTCAGAGGACATCTAGTGAGAATCAGTTCTGTCCTTCCATGATTTGGATCCCAGGAATCAAACTCAGATTTATCAGGCTTGGTGTCAAGTGTCTTTACCTGCTGAGCCATGTTACTGGGCCAGCTCTCACACCTAGGGAACTAAATTCCATTCTTCTTCTGGCAAAGAAAGTAGATAGTGATTAGTTTGATGAATCTTACAAATCACTTTGTCCCCAGAAGAGTAGCTCAGCTCCTGATCATTTAGTCATATCAGACCAATATTGTGATACCTGTTTCCCAGGAGAGGAAATCAACATCATGACTGTGTTGTCTCTGTCTTGGTCAGGTAAAGAATGTTTGTGACCAATCAATGTCTTCCTTGGGGCATAAGATGTTGCTGCCTGTCTGGGGCTCTATGAAGAGTCTCCTCACAGAATGGAGGTGCATAGCTCCTGCTGTGTAGACCTTTTTTTTTTTTTTTTTTTAAGCTATATTCCGAACTTATTCTTTTTGTTCCAAGGGGAACACACTGTTACTTATTTAAAAGATGTTAATGAAGACTTAGAGTCTTGCAAGTGTTTTGACTTTCATTTGATGTTTGCAAGGATCATCACCGTAGGAGACAATTGGTCTAGTTATAGTAGGATATATAGAACTTAAGCCAGTAGATTTGGTTTAATACTTTTCAAGCACAAATACTCAGGTTCTGTAAAACAGACACGAGTATAAGAAGCTAAGTTTAGGCAAGTCCATTTTTTCACAGAAGCAGTGTATTGCATAATTTTAATGCTATTATTCAGCAGGTGATAGTGATAATCAACTCTTAAACACTTCAAAAATACAGTGACTAACGCTAGGACAGTAAAGAAATTAAGGTTTCTTTAATAAAAAAAAGTGAAAAGGAATCTTAAAAGGCAAATTAAGGTAGGATCAGATATGACTTAGAATATGCTGAAAGCTCTTCCTGTAGGGGTTGAGCCAGTTAAAGATTTTGACCATCAGGTTCTCTTCTACTTACTCATTTAGTGAATCAGACCTCTCTGGTGGCTAGTGGCACTTAGGTGCTGCTTTTCTCTGAGGCACACACTAAATAACAGGCTACCATTCTCTATTTTGTTTCGCCTGGGGAAGAGGTAAATGGTCCTTTGTGTGCCTTTGGTGGGACATCACCATGTTGAGGAGCAGCTGAAGGTGTGACAAGGAGCTTTTATGTTAGTTCAGTGGGATTTTTTTTCTTCAGTTCTTTCAGTTTGTGATACGGTGATTGAAGGCAGGGTTGACCCAGGATGGATTTTGCCCTAGTTAGAGTTTGTATTAATTAGTTCAGTTGTCTGTTTAGTCTTGCTTGACAACTGTCTTGCTAAACAACCTAGTACAATATCTTGATACATAGTTATTGGTGGTTGAGTCCAGATGAGTTGAAATGTTAGTGGTAAGAAGCATAAGAAAACTTAATGCAATCTTGATAAAAAATTAAATGTTGACCTGGCCCTGAAATTTCAGAGGCTGCTGTCTTAAAGTTTCATTGATAGATAATGAAGATTGTGGTTTTGGTTAGTTTGTTTTGGGGGATATACAAGGTGAAGAAAATAAGAGTGTGATCAGAATAGATGGTTGCTGTGCTTCTGGAAGTTGCTATGACCTAGCTGCATGCTATGAGACTTGTTATCCCTCCTGTGATATATAAGACCTCTTAGCAGTTGTTCTTTGCTTCCTCTGTAAAGCAAACCATGCAAACTGGTGGAAATGGTTTCTTGTCCTGTCTATAGTTTATCTGTCTGTGTCTAGGACCTCCTTTGCTTGCTTTTGTTACCTGGGTGGCATGGACACCTACTTCCTAATTCTACCTTAATTGGACCTCAAATTCTACTGATTCTGACACATTTCTAAATCTTTTGCAAATTTGCCTTCTCTTGTTTGTCTTCACAGTGTTCTCTTAGACTCAAGTTGTTTCTTTCTTCATTTTTGTTTCCTAACTGCTTTACCACTGTGCATCCCCCCACTCCAAATTAAATATGCATAGCTAAAATTGGAGTGCTTATTTGTCTCATTTATATGTAAAATGTTTTGTATCCATTCTTTTCTGACAATTCCCACAAGTCCACCTTCTCTTCTCAGGGCACATGGTCTTAGCCAGTCCATTTAGAACCATTTCCTGGCTTCCAATGTTATTTTTGGTTTGCTTTTGAAATCCTTACTGAGCTACTCTTGTCTTTACTCATATCTTTTGCTCTATCTTGCAAACCTGCACTTTCAGGTCTGTGGAACCTCTTGGTCTTAAAGGCATCATAACTTTCTTAGCACCTTATGTGTTTAAATATGTTGCCCCCACTTTGATCCATTTAATTTTTTAGCATAAACCCCTCAAAGCTTAAGTGACATCTCTTGAGATGTTATCATTGTCCTTCAACTCTTTCTCTAGCTTTTGTTCTACCTCTGTGACACCTTCTCTGTATAACTGCTATATTAATAAAAATTATTCCTTAAAATTTAATTCTTAGGATAATTTTAGATTTATAGAAAAGTCAACAGAAGTAGCACAAGAGTCCTTTAAAAGTCTATACTAGTTTCCTTGTCATTAACATCTTATGCTAATGTCACAGCTAAGAAGTGAACATTAATTAGTACCTTGCTTATTGACTGAATTTCAGTTGTCAGGACCTTTCTCTGGTTTTGTTTGTTTTTGCAGTCTTTTTGAGACTTTATATCCCTCTTTCAGAATTATGATAGTTTTTAGAGCCAGGAACTCACAACTGTTTGTGCTGATTTATTCACTTGCAGAGTATTGTGTCAAAGAATGCTCTGCAGTATCGAGGAAATTCCCAACATGACGCCCAGGAGTTTCTGCTTTGGCTTTTGGATCGAGTTCATGAAGACCTCAATCATGCTGTAAAGCAGAGTGGCCAGCCTCCTCTGAAGGTGAGTACATGGACTCCTTGAGCAGGGGAAGGGGTAAAGAGATAGGGAAGTCCTCTCACAAACTTCCATTGTGGGTTTGTTACATTAAGTGGAGTGACTAGCTCTGGGTGAGTATAAAACTAAGTGGGCACTTTATGGGATATTTTACTGCTTTTTGTGCTGGCAGTGTAAGGTAAAACATAGCTCCACCCTTAAGGACCTTACAGTCTATTCTAATAAGACAGACACATATTATATAGATTTGCAGAACATGTAACACAGTCAGAAAGAAAAATGTATGAATATCTCTGCTGTTAGACTTGAACATAGGAATTGAGTCCAGAATGGTCTTACTGAGAAACATCGCAGTTCATAGTCAACTTTTGTACACATAGCCTTAATATGCTAGATAAAGTGGTTCATACAGTGGGAAGATACATCCCTGTGGAGCTTTTGACGTTTGTGACAAGTCTGATCTGTATTTCAGAATTTCTAGTTTTAGGAAGTTGGTGGAGTATTCTGACTTAGGATCTTTTTATTCCTGACCACTGTACTGTCCTAAAATATGTATACATGGCTGACTCCAACACTGTATTGAAGAATCTTAAAGGCAGGCACTGTGTTACTAGCCCTTGTATCCTCACATCCTGTACAATGTTCTCTACACGTGGTAGTAGATGCTTAGTAGTTAGGGACATGAAAAAGCTAAATAAAATGTGAAGCAGACTGAGTTAAGCATCAAGATGAAGATTGAAACATCCTAGTGAAGAGAGCTAGAGTCTTCCAACGGGCTAAAGAGATTTACGCGGTGTGTAGTAGTCTGTCTGTGGGGATGAGTCCATGTGACCTACAGGCTGTGTGCTGTGTTCTGTTTACCTTAGCGCAGTATGTTGCAGAGCGCCTGGGTTCCATATACAGCTTATAAAAGAAGTTGAGTACTTGTGGCATTTTAGACCCAACTTAATCAAGAATTGATACTTTAGGCCTGTGAATTGTACTTTGTTTTTTTTAAGCCACCATCAGAAACTGATATGATGCCTGAGGGACCATCTTTTCCTGTGTGTAGCACTTTTGTACAAGAACTTTTTCAAGCCCAGTATAGGTAAGAGCAAATGACATGTTCCCTCTTGTTTTGTCTGCTTAATGTAGTTCTATGTAATCTCAGTGTGAATGTTTTACATTTTTGTTTTCAAAGATCTTCTTTGACATGTCCTCATTGTCAGAAACAGAGCAACACTTTTGACCCTTTCCTGTGCATTTCTTTGCCAATTCCTCTACCCCATACAAGGTAAGAATGTATGCGTAAAATTAACAGTCGGCTGTGGTAGAGTACTTCTTCTTCTGTAGCCTCCTGTTAAGGCTTTTCAATTACTTAGTTTAGGCTTAATGGTAGTGAACAGTAGCCTTGTTAAATTCTTGAAGCTAAATGGCTGTCTCAGTGTGCATGCTGAGCAGGTACATGATAGAGGCAAGCCCATGCCATAGTCCTTTAAAAAACTGATTGTCCTAGAATCCCTGGAGACCTTCCTTGTACTTATTTCAGACCTTAAGAATTTCTAGAACTTAGGCTGTTTTGGAGGAAAAGAGAACCAATTATGAATATCTTGCTTGAAAAATATTTGTATGAGGGTAGCTTTTTCAAAGTTCTTTTGACTTGGTTAGTAGTTTCTAGTTAGGTGTAAATGAACTTTTCCCGTTTGGTTTCCAAATAAAGGGGGAGTTAGCTTTAGCTTCTTTTCTTTTTAGATAGTCTCTTGTATCACAGGCTGGCCTCAAACTTGTGTAGCTGAGAATGACCTTGAACTCTCACTGTCCTGCCTTTAGGTTCCGAACAAGTGCTGCAGTGGCAGGCATATGGCATTGTTTCTGGTTTATGTCCTACTGGGGGAATGCAGGATTGTGCATGCTAGGCAACTGAGCTATGGCCCAGGCCTCATTTTAGGCTTTGTATTGATTTCAGGTCAGGTTTGTTTCATTTCTTCTGTATTGTAGCTAAAATAAGTAACTAATGAGAAGATCTGACTTTGATCTGTACAGGCCTCTCTATGTCACTGTAGTGTATCAAGGGAAATGTTCCCACTGCATGAGGATTGGTGTGGCCGTGCCTCTGTCTGGAACTGTTGCCAGACTTCGGGAAGCTGTGTCAATGGAGACAAAGATCCCTGCTGATCAGGTAATAACTTGCTAAGACTACACGTGAGCCATTAAACTGTTGCTTTTTGCTTATCTGGATTTTTTTTTCTGACAAACATGTTGGAAATTTAAAACCAGTTGCTTTTACTGGTGAGGGGAGAATGGATGGAGGGAATCCAAATTCAAAGAATACAGTGTAGAAAAAAACCTTTGTCTGCTTCAATTAATTGTATTTATAAAAGGAAAAACTGCTTTATGAAAGACCTCTTGGCTTTGTTTGTAAAGTGTAATTACTTAACCTTTCTCTCCCGCTCCTGTGACATTTGACAGAGAGGCTTAGGAGCCCCTCCCGCTTGTTAGTGGTGAGAACGGGCAGCTCGCCAGTGTGGCACCCTGTGCATAGTACGTGCTTGTTGTGCTTCTTTTCTGGCCCCTGTTGTCGGCGTGGAGCCCAGGGCATTCCTCCTGCGAGCAAGTACCAGCCACCATGTTTCCTTTTCTTACTTGAAGACCAGAGTCTTTTGTTTGCATAGGGAAAGTTAGGTTTCCCCTTTGTGGGGAGGGAAAGGTAACACATCTTTGATAACTAGTTATATTTAAATTGACCAAAAATACTTTTGGCTTATTGGTGACTGAACATATTTTATACACAATTTTTACTGGAAAAATATTACAGGAAACATTTCTTAGGCTTTATAAGGAAGGATGACTTACTGGTAAAATAGCTTTTCCCTGGTTAGCTTCTGGAAGCTTCTATGTAATCACTTGAATAATAAATGTATTTTATTCGTCAACCTCATTTGGCGCCATTAGGGCAAATACACGTAAAGTAGTGTTGCCTTAATGCAGCAGATCTCTACTATTTTCATAGGCTGAGTACTGGCACAATGATAAAATATTGATATTTTCTTTACATTGCTGCTTGATTCTTTTTCTCTCCAGGATGAGGGGAGGGCAGGGAGAAGAGAGGTCCTGGCATCAAAATAAATGCAGCTGTGTCTTTAAAGCCTCAGTGCTGTCACACTCTTTTCATGTGTTGTATCAGTTGGTGATATAATTAATAGTTTGCTTTAGCTCTCAGCTTTCTGGAGAGGTGAATTATACTTTCATATTCACCGTGAGGAAAGCAGCATAAGCATTAAATCCTTAGAAGGAAATACGAGAGGAGCATTTTTTTTCTGGGCCATTTGTGAAACAGACCACAGGCCTTTCTACTTCATAGACTTATTTAATGTCGGTACTAGTGAGGTGACAGTGGGGCAGGGGACTGGTGGTTTGCCCAATGGCGCCTCTTTACCCCATTGAAGAAGGCCCTGTTGAAGGTCACAGAGCTGGTTGATGGCGGGCCGGACCTGGAACCTTCTCTTGCTCTGCCCTGTCTATTGTTTTACATTGGGCAGTGCTGCTGAATCTGTAGCAGAAGCCCTGAATGTAGCCATTGTTCTCTGCCCGTTCAATCAAAAAAATTATAACATAGAAATTAAAAGTCTCTTAAGTGGTAAGAAGGTCACTGAATTCAGTGCTGTATTATATAGTATTCTTTAGATTTTTTTTTTCCCCCCTCTGGGAGTATCCTACAGTTCTTCCTAAAAGTAGTTATTTACACACATCATTCTTAGATTTCCTTTTTGTTTACTTGGGGTCTGGCTTCATAATGCAGATATATGCAGGTCATACTTTCTAGTAGCTTTCTGAGTAAGTAGGACTGCATTTAACCAGTTGCTGTCACTGGGCATTTGAGTTGATTTTATGTGTTCCAATATAGATAGCCATTTGACTATCTATGTTGGTCATTGGACTTTTTCTTTTAATCTGAAAAAGAGGAGAATTTAATGATATGAAAGAATGTCTTAGATTCAGATGTAGACTGTCCTCTCCATGAGACTGAAAACATAAAGAACTTTAGGCAGGTCTCTTTTGCCTTCTTCCTCCTGTGAAACAGAAGAATGAATAATTCTGTTATTATCACCTCTCCCCAAACTTGGAGGAACTCTGGATTTAGTGCCATAGACCTCTGGATTCAGAGTGTACACTTAGACAGTCGCAGAGGCTACTGTTCTTCTATGAGTCTCTCATTACCAGCAAATTATGTGGTCCTAGAAGATATCTGATAGCCCCCACCGAGAATTACCAACCTGATGGTCTTGTGAAGGTCAGCTTAGGATTGGAAGAGCTTTTTATATTGAATTTCCAGTTACCCAACTGTTCACATTTTCCCCATTTTTTAGATTGTGTTAACAGAAATGTACTATGATGGGTTCCATCGTTCCTTTAGTGACACAGATGACCTGGAGACGGTTCATGAAAGTGATTGCATTTTTGCCTTTGAGACTCCAGAAATATTTAGGCCTGAAGGAATTCTCAGTCAAAGAGGTAAATGGTGATGTCTCTATAACGCACCTGAGTTTACAGATTTGACCACTGTGGGCATTGAAATGTTATATGATAGTGTACAATTTAAAAATTGTGATTAAGTGAACATACTGTTGTGTTTTTTGATTTTTTTTCAATAAAATCTCTATTTCTTTTATTGTTAGTAGTGATCCTTCTGAACCCCAGCTATGATTCCTGTGTATTGAACATCTGATCCTTCACCTGTCTGTTACACTCAGTTCTTGACTGCCTTCACGTTCTGTAGAGGCCTACCTCAGTACCTCACCAGATGATCAGCTTTTCTTCACCCTATTTGTACAAGTTTGCCTTAAGCCACTTGAATTCTCTTGTTGGATATGTGTGTATTTGTTTTAATATTTCTGTTCTGTTCTTTATTCTTGAAAACCATTGGGCACATTGTAAAGACATCCTTTCTCATATTACTCAGAGAGTAAGGCTGATTTTTATTTTTTTTAATATTTATTTATTTATTTATTTATTTATTTATTTTGAATGCTCTTTCTTGACACACAGCAGAAGAGGGCATCAGATCACATTGTAGATGGTTGTGAGCCACCATGTGGTTGTTAGGAATTGAACTCAGGACCTCTGGAAAAACAGTCGGTGCTCTTAACTGCAGAGCCATATCTCCAGCACCTTGCTGATTTCTTTTAAATATTAGTAACCACTTTTTTATTTGGGTTCTTCTATTTTTGACATGAGTTTGTACTTGGATCCTTGGATGCCCTTTTTCCCATTCAGCCAGCTGGATTTTTTTTTTTTTTTCTTTTTACAGCCATTATCACCAATCAATCAGTGTTCCAGATTTGATTTCCTTTTTGTTGTTTATCTGTATCCATCTCATTGCCACAGGAATTTGTATTCCTATGGTCAATGATAAATAAAATACAAATAAACAAGACAAAAACTGTAGGAAAAAATATCAAAACTTAAAAAATTGCAAAAAAAAAAGGTATAGCTGAAAGAATATAGAAAAGTAAGTGAGTTAGAGGCATGTCCTCAGTGACTGCTTCCTCTAGTGAAGCCTTAGTTCCTTGAGTTTGCACTGACTCTTCAGAGTGTTTTTAGCTGAAGACTAAGGCTTCAAGTACATGGGCCTGTAAAGGGCGTTCTTGGGAGCTCTTGGTCACGGAGCTCCAGTCATTGCTTCTGCTCATCAGCATGTGGATGGAAATGACCTGTGGGCTCTTCTGTCTTTCCCACTATACGGACTTTCTTTGGAGCACTGGCCACCTATGCTTCATCTTTTTATTCCTAGCAGTTTTTAATATGCAGCAAGAGTCCAGTTAGTAATTTTTCAGCTGAAAAATTCCTCAGTTCTGTCCCTGATCCTTGATTGCTTAGGGATTATTTTATCACACTGAGCCCCTGTGCATTAATGAATTTCATGTCCAAACGTCATATTCTAGCTAGAACATGTCTATGTTGAAAGAACTTGCAAGCATGTTACTTTGTGACCTGAAGACATTGTGTGTGCTCTATTCAGTGAGAGCATGTGAGAGCACCATATTCCTCACTCTGGGAATGACAGCTGGGATTTAGAGGTTAAATCACTGGCCCCAGGTCCCGTGGCTTAGGAGCCACAGGGCTGTGATGTGAAGAATGGATCTTTGCAGCAGTTGAACAGCATCCCCTTATCTCACTGGAAATCCTGTTCACTTCCCACACTTACCTTTGCCAAGAACCTGGGGATTAAAGTAATTTGTTGTTTCAGATTTGTTTTCTGTTATCTTTATTTTTTTCACATCACACTTTAGAATGCTTATGAAGTGGTATCCACTTTTGTTTCTTTGGGATTTCTTTGTGGTATTTATGCCTAAAATGTGCTCTTCTCTCTAGTGGCTTGATTAAAGTTCAAGTGATTGCCTTTTTAAGCTCTCTGAAATTTATTTTGGTATTAGCTCTGTACTTGTCATTCAGATTGCTGTCATTCCACTGCATCTTAACAGCAAGTCCTCTGTTTTATATTGCTGGCTGCTTAGGTTGTTGCCAGAACTTTGTCGTGATTGCTTTTCTGTAAGCTGTTCTGTTTTTTTCTTTTAGTGTTGTTATTGTTGGTGGTGTTGGCAGAAAGGCCCCATTTCATTATGGGGTGCATTTCATTAGGTGACATGCGTTTGAGAGAATAAAGAAATTAGCAGATATTGTCAGATATTCACAGATATCATAAGGCTACAAAGCCTCATGATAGTATTGACTAACTGGATGGCTCAGAATAACCGGAAGCTCTGCTATAGGGCCCTGAAGATTTGTGCTGTCTGTCAGGCATCTGTTTCTGCTAATGTGGGTTGCTCTGTTCTAGTTATCATGTACTTACCACAGCTCTAGATTAGGAAGTGCAGTTCTATCTCTATTATAATAATCAGGGACAAGAAACTGCTAGTGAGACCTTGTAGATGATTCCACATGTTCTCTCTATTCTGGAATGTATTTGATGACTGGTTACTGGATCTAACTTTAAATTGTATTTGTGGGTCATTCCAGTAAACTTGCCCTTTGAAAATGTACCTGATTTTTACTTAGGTGGCGAGTTCTAATTTCCGGTTTTAAAGATAGGAAGCCTACTCTAAAGCAGACGATGGATGCCAACACCTAGCCTAATGGCTAGATGAATAATCTCGTAGTAGAGTGTTTGTCCCTATTTTTAATTGTTATTTGAATTATAAATGACAGCTTTTTTATTCTATTTCTATTCTTTGTAGTGAATGAATAAAAAGAATCTTAAAGAGTTAAGTTGAGCTGTTTTTGTTCTTTTTCAGGCATTCATTTAAATAACAATCTAAACCATTTAAAATTTGGCTTGGATCATCGTAGACTGTCTTCCCCACCACCAATAGCAGCAAAACAAGGGAAGGTGGACTTGCCCACCAGAGTGGCAAATGACAAGATTGTTCTGCTTGTATGTAACCGGGCCTGCACTGGGCAGCAAGGGAAAAGGTAAGAACCAGCTTATTTCACAATAATTACTGACATTTTTGAGGCTACATGTTTAAAAATCCTTTTTTTTTTTAAATTTATTTATTTATTATTTATACAGAGTTCTGCTTACATGTACACCTGCATGACACAAGAGGACACTAGATCTCATTACAGATGGTTGTGAGCCACCATGTGGTTGCTGGGAATTGAACTCAGGACCTTTGGAAGAGCAGTCAATCCTCTTAACCTCTGAGCCATCTCTCCAGCCCCTAAAAATCCTTTTGAAAGCAGGAATGAAAAAAAAAAATCTACTTTTAATGGGAATTTTATTTTGCTTTTGAGGTAGGGACTCACTGTGTATCCCAGACTACACATGAACTCCTGATTCTCTAGCCTACCTTCCAAATGCTGGAGTCACAGGCATGTGCCATCATTCCCAGCTGCAGTTAATTTTTGATTCTGAAATGCAGAAGGAATTTTTGTGTAAGTTGACTTGAATTGTTGGATTGGGAAGGGGAGCTTATGTTCTGTGTGTACTAGACTTCTTAGAACATAAGCTCTCAAAAGCTACAAAAGCTTCGTATTCAAATTCTAACATCCTAATTTTATAGTCTTCCCCTTCCCAATCCAAGGAACTTATTTCAAAGTGAAATACTAAAAGGCTCAAATAATGGCAATGCTGACTATTTAAAAAAAAAATCTGAGTCCTTTTGAGACACATTTAGCTGTTATTATCACTCAGGTAATACTTTTGTAATAAAGCTACTTTGAAAGATATTCTATAGTTCCCATATATTCTTAAAGTGGGCAGCAGAGAAATTTGAGAGATTTTTGACTCCCAGATTTCTGACTTATAATGCTGAGTGAATAGTGACACTTGCCAAGACAGGAAATATTGGAAGAGAAAGATAAAGAATTCAGTTTGAGACATAATTCTAGGGAACATGTACCACCCAAACACGCATGCTAAGACTTTTTTTTTTTAGGATCACAGTGAGCTGGGCTTCCCACATCAATCATCAGTCAAGAAAATGCTTCACAGGCCAATGTGATTAGGGCATTTTCTCAATTTAATTTCCTTCTTCCAAAATGACTGTAGCTTGTCAAGTTGATGTAAACCAAGCCAGCACATGGGGAGGCTGATGGAAAGTCGGGCAGTGTTGATAACCCAGTGGCTAGTACTGTGCTTTATGGGAATGGGGGTATCATGCAGATGAGTAGGAGAAAGTACAGAAGGGTGGGGAAGGGTGTTGCATGCTGAGGGTGTGTGGTCTGCCACTGATCTGAATGTGTAGAGAAGGACACATTAAGGGATCATTACATAGGCTTGAACGACTAGGGCATGAATGAAGCTGAAGCCAGAACAGTGGTCTTCAACTTTTAACTGCATATTAGAACTACTTGGGACCCCCTCAGAAAAGCCTCATTGCTAGATCACATTCCAGACTGACTTCACCAGAATCTTGTATTATAGATTCGGACTGCCTTTTGTCCTGCACCTAGAAAAGACAGTAGCATGGGACCTTCTGCAGAAGGAGATACTGGAGAAGATGAAGTATTTCTTGAGGCCTACTGTCAGCATTCAGGTTTGTAAGCACTTTGGTATCCCAATAGAACATGGTTTTTACTCAGAAGCAGCAATTTAGTACAGTGAAACTACTTTTGTTGGGATTTTCAAGACTAAGAATTTTCTTTAGTTTCTGAAAGGAGTTAACATTGCAGAAGTTTTCTTGAATTGTTGTGTATTTATGGTGCCAGTCTAGTACAGCTGGCATATGATCAGCATGAAGATGCTATAAACTTCTGTAACTTTAAAAATTACTGTTACTGTATAAAGGTATTCATGGAAGACAGTTAAATCAGCGTCCAGTGACAGCAGGGGAACGCTTACATACCTGATAAATAAGTTGCATCTGAGTGCCTTGTACTTCAGGTGGAGGAGTATTTTGCAAAGTGAGCTGTTTGCTGTACCTCTGATCTGTTTTGGAAATCTGCTGTGAAAGATGCCTTTGACTAAGGCCAGCCTTATTTTCATTTGATACAGGTGTGTCCATTCAGTTTGCGTGTGGTCAGTGTTGTGGGAATAACTTACTTGTTGCCACAGGAAGAACATCCCTTGTGCCACCCTACGGTAGAAAGGTAAAAGACAAACACACAACTGCCTTCACGAATCTCGCAAGTACACATGTGCCACTTAAAGTAACGTCTGATATCTGGTATAATTTCCATGTGTCTTAAGTTCTTTAAGCTTATGTAGAAGTTGAGTACTTGTTTTACTTCTGATTTATACTGGGTACAGAGTGTCATAGTCAAGGTCACTATTGATGTGATGAAACACCGTGACCAAAAGCAAGTTTGGGGGCCTTACACTTCCATATTACTGTTTATCATTTAAGGAAGTCAGGACAGGAACCAACAGCGCAGGAACCTGGAATCAGGAGCTGATGCAGAGGCCATGGAGGAGAGCTGCTCACTGGCTTGTTCCTCATGGCTTGCTTGTTCAGCTTGTCTTCTGTAAAACCCAGGACCACCAGCCCAGCGTAGTTCCCCACCCACAAGAGGCTCAGCCCTCTCACACCAATCACTAATTTAAGAAAACACTCTACAGGCCTGCTTACAGTTCACTGTTATGGAGGCATTTTCTCCATTGAGGCTCCCTTCTCTCCAGTAACTCTAGCTTGTGTCAAGTTGATGTAAAACTAGCTGGCATAGAAGAAGTATTCTTTATTCTTTCTTGAAATTAGAGTAGCTCATGTTAGGAAGAAGGAACACTTTCATAGGTGTTCTATATGTACATACATATATAGCTGTGTTGTATATAAACACACACTTCTATATGTCTGCATGTAAACATAAACATAAATCAATGAATGATAAATAAATTACATTATTAGTCGCCAAGATTGAAGTGTTCCAGGCTAATGTTCTGGTCCTTCCCTAGTCATTACCTTTACTTGGTAAATGATGGTCCAGAAGGTAAAAAGGCCATGCCCCATAGTTTGAGCTCTCTACTTCTCTTTGATTAGGTCTCTTTACTGTTTCTCTCCCAACCACAGCAAACCTGCCTTTGTCTTCATTGTACTTATGATTGCTTGACCACATGGCATTGCCTCATATGTGTGCTTTGCATGGGTGGTTTCTACTGTTTATAATTTCTTTAGTGTGAAAATCTTTATTGTTCCTCCTCCTCTGATGGAATTAGGTGCTCTACTTTGCTACTCTTGTACTTTCATACATACTATTCTATTATCTTTTTAACGATCTATTCTACTGGCAGATATATGTCTATAGACTATCCATATGTGGCTACGTAAATAGGAAAAGTTGTACTGTTTTTTTTTTTTGTAATGATTTTTCAGCACATAATTTTTTTTAATTTTTTATTTAACTTTTATTAATTACACTTTATTCATTTTGTATCCCCCCCATAAGCCCCTCCCTCCTCCCCTCCCGGTCTCCCCCTACCCCCTTTCTGCGTGCATGCCCCTCCCCAAGTCCACTGATAGGGGAGGTTCTCCTCTCCTTCTTTCTGATCTTAGTCTATCAGTTCTCATCAGAAGTGGCTGCATTGTCAGGGTTCTAGGTTATCTCCATGAATAGTCCTTGGTTGGAGTATGAGTCTCTGGGAAGTTCCCTGTGTTCAAATTTTCTTGTTCTGTTGCTCTCCTTGTGGAGTTCCTGTCCTCTTCAGCTCTTACAATTTCCCACTTCTTACATAAAATTCCATTCACTCTGCCCGACAGTTGGCCATCAGGCTCAGCAACTGCTTTGACAGTCTGCACGGCAGAGGCTTTCGGAGGCCCTCTGTGGCAGATTCCTAGGTTGTTTCCTGTTTTCTTTTTCTTCTGATGTCCATCCTCTTTGCCTTTCAGGGTGGGGATTGAACATTTTAGTTAGGGTCCTCTCTTTTGCTTAGTTTGTTTAGATGTACAGATTTTAGTGGGTTTATTCTATGTTATATGTTTATATGAGTGAGCATATACTGTGTGTGTCTTTTTGCTTCTGGGACAACTCACTCAGGATGATCCTTTCCAGGTCCCACCATTTACCTGCAAATTTCATGATTTCCTTATTTTTCACTGCTGAGTAATACTCCATTGTATAGATGTACCACAGTTTCTGCATCCATTCCTCCACTGAGGGGCATCTGGGCTGTTTCCAGCTTCTAGCTATTACAAATAAAGCTGCTACAAACATGGTTGAGCAAATGTCCTTTTTGTGTACTTGAGCCTCTTTTGGGTATATGCCTAGGAGTGGTATGGCTGGATCTTGAGGAAGCGCTATTCCTAGTTGTCTGAGAAAGCGCCAGATTGATTTCCAGAGTGGTTGTACAAGTTTACATTCCCACCAGCAGTGGAGAAGGGTTCCCCTTTCTCCACAATCTCTCCAGCATGTGTTGTCCCTTGAGTTTTTCATCTTGGCCATTCTGATGGGTGTAAGGTGAAATCTCAGGGTTGTTTTGATTTGCATTTCCCTAATGGCTAATGAGGTTGAGCATTTCTTTTAGTGTTTCTTTGCCATTCAATATTCCTTCTCTGTTTAGCTCTGTACCCCATTTTTTAAGTGGATTACTTGGTTTGCTGCTTTTCAGCTTCTTTAGTTCTTTATATATACTGGATGTGAGTCCTCAGCACATCATTTTTAAAAGCACACAAGCTGGGCATGATGGCACATGTCTATTATTGCAGCACAGGATGATCAGGATTTGAAGGCTGTCCTTTTCTGTGTAGTGATCTGAGATCTGGGTTGTATGAGATCCTGTCTCACTCTTCCCACCACCATTTTTTTTTTTTAACAGCATAATCTTATTTGAAAGGTCACTGTTTGGTTTTAGACATGAAAGTAGATAAGATAAATAATCTAAAACATTGTACAATGTATAAAAGATAAAAGATGAGTAACATTAGGCATTACTGATGAGTGTCTCAAAAAATGGTGATGACCATTGAGTTAGTTGGTGTGTATTTGTGGAGAAGGAAGGCACAGGGGAGTTGATATAAGTTAGGCATAGTGGGGTGGTGTTGGGCAAGTGTGACAACAGACTGTTCCCTAGAAACTGTCTAGTCTGTGTGGGTGAGACATTGGGCAAAAGTTGGAAAGATAATACATAACATCTGAGAGTGTATGAGCAAACTTACAGGGTGATACTCAATTTTTTACACTCATTTCTATACTGGATGTTTTAGTTTAAGGATTTTTCATTCTGATTGTAAACTAGTTACAAAATCAGAGGCTACGTTGGTCTCATTAAAGACTTTCTAATGGGGAACTATAAAAATTTTCTATAATTATGAGATTCTAGATAGAATATAATCACATTTAAGTAAACTCTTTTGTTTAAAAACTAATATGTGGTTCCACTTTCATTCTTTAGGGCATTAAAGTCCTGTGGACCAGGTGGTACAGCTCATGTGAAATTGGTAGTAGAATGGGACAAGGAGACAAAAGATTTGTAAGTTCTTCTCTTCTCTTCTCTTCTATTCTCTTCTCTTCTCTTCTCTTCTCTTCTCTTCTCTTCTCTTCTCTTCTCTTCTCTTCTCTTCTCTTCTCTTCTCTTCTCTCTATCTCTCTTTATTACATTTTAACAGCACACAGTACTTTCAGTTTAGCTGGAACATACAAGTCTTACAATTAGCTGAGTATCTTAGGTGTGCTTTAGCCCTTTATTGAAGCAGTTTATTATTCTTTTCCTGACTGCTTTCCAAGGCTCAAAACTTTAGAAAATGTACTTGCTGCTGAGAGAAAAGCTGTATGTTCATTAACTGCTGCGTAAGTTGATCTACTTTGATTTTCTGTTATATGTTCATCAGCTCTTGTAGGCTTATATCAGTCAGGATCAAATGTGTTCAGGGAATTTATGACTGTATACTATTACGCTTGTATCAAATGTATGTCCTTAGATACCATGGACAAGAATAAATGTAGGCATCATGAACAGAGAGGGAGTTCTAATTCAGAGCATACACTACTGTTGCAGGGGAAACAAGTTCAAGTCCTAGCACCTATATCAGGTGGGTAACAACAGCTTGTAACTCCAGGTTCAAGAGAGCCAACACTTTGGTCCCTGTGGGCTCCTACACTCAATGCACATATCCACACAGATACATATATGTCAGTATACTTAGTTTAAAACAAAATAAGCACAGTGTTTGAGAAACACTGACTCCGCAAGTTAATTGTTGAAATAACTTTGCAGATGGAGAAATTTCCAAGAACATTTTGGAATGAAGAAGAGTTAAATGACCACATTCTTATGCATTGATCTATTAGGTTATGAATTCATAGCTACTTTAAACAACTGTTATTGTGCCTGTTTTATGAGACGTGATCTGAAAGCTGCCTCTCTCTGAATTGTAGCTTGTTTGTAAACACCGAAGATGAGTATATCCCTGATGCAGAAAGTGTCCGTTTGCAGAAGGAGCAACATCATCAGCCACAAACCTGCACTTTATCTCAGTGTTTCCAACTCTACACCAAAGAGGAACGGGTAAGATGCAGAGCCTACAAGATGACAGCAAAGATATTAAATCTGCCCAAGAAAGCACATGCCCCAGGAATTTGCATTCCCTCAGGCTCTACACATTTAAGTAGGTTTGTTTTGTTTTGCTTTTTTTGAGACAGGGTTTCTCTGTGTAGCCTTGGCTGTCCTGGACTCACTTTATAGACCTGGCTGGCCTCAAGCTCAGAGATCTGCCTGCCTCTGCCTCCAAAGCACTGGGACTAAAGATATGCACCAACATGCCCACACCCAGCTTAAGTGGGCATTTTTAGTGTCAGTCCTTTTAGGACTTTAACAAGGAGTGACGTAAGTTTTTGAGTATTTGGAGAGCTCTAGATTGAGCCTTTGTAATTATTTGTTTTCTTTTTAATGACATTTTTTTGTTCATTTCAATTTGAAGTCTTAAATTATTTTCCTTAGTTATGAAAACTTTTCTCAAAATTTTTTAATTTGTTTTACTTTATGTTTTTGTTTTTGAGACAGGGTCTTACAATGTAGTCCTAGCTGGTGTAACACTTGCTATGTAGACCAGGATAGTCTAAGGTCAAGGTAGTGTCCTCTACCTCTCCCTCCTGACTGCTGGGATTACAGGTGTGGCCACCAACACATCCAGTTTTTCTCAATTTAGTACACTTGTACTATAATCACAGGTGTTGGTACCTCTTCAAATTTAGATTAAGTAAATAAGATAAAATGAAAAATTAAATTATTTAGTTGTGTAAACCCCAAATGCTTCAATTGCTTCCGTGACAGTTGCTCCAGTACAGAGCAGTGCTCATATCATGTTCTGTTGGATCATAGTGTGCTGGACCACTTGGTATAGTGGTTTACACATAGTAGGGATTCAGTAAATACTTAAATGTTGAATGGACAGGTAGATGGATGGATGTCTCTGTGGGGCCCAGGCTTATGAGAAGTCTTGACGAGAATGTTTAAAGGTCATTCAGTCTTCTGTTGCTGTGCAAGATCTATGTTTGTGTAGTCTCACTTTGTGTAGCACCTGATATATTCATGATAACTGAAGAAGGAAAGATCTGTTTTAGTTCATGGTTTCAGACCACAGTTCTTTGTTGATTCTGGATCTGTCATGAGACAGACTGTCTTGGAGATGGGGAGTATGTGGAGAAGAAGGCTACGTGCCTCATGGTTGTCAGGAAACAAAGGATAGGATAGGAAGGGGCCAGGGAAAAGATACCACCAGAGGTCTACCCTGGGTGACCTACCTCCTCTAGCCAAATCTTTCCAGGTGTTTGTAATACCTACAAAAATAGTATTATCAGTCAGGGACCAAATATTTACTGCATGAACCTTTGGGGAGCACTTGTTTAAACCATGGCAGGATTTAATTTTGACCGTTAGTTTACCCTTTGATCTTGTACATATAGAATTAGGCACCTCAGGACTAGAAGGGACTTAAAACTTTTTTTTTCTATTCTTCTACCTTGTTTTCAAGTGAATGATTGTTTCAGCTGCCAGAGTGCCTTCTGTTATGAGGAGTTTACCTACATAAGACCTGGCATCCATTTAGGTCTGATATAGACTAAAATGAACTTGAAATAGGTCCTCTGGTTACACTGCAACAAAAAGTAATTTTCTTTAAATATTGGGAAATCATTTTTAGAATCTCACTGTGTTCTCTCCCCTAACCTGATTGTAGCAAGTTCCTTCAAAAATAGTTCATTTAAAGACAAGTGTTTATCAATTTTTAGCTTAATTATAAAATAGCCAGTTGCTTTGGAACTGGTTGATTGAAGACCATTGGTTCATCCTGTGTTTTTCACTGTTTGTGTTTAAAAATTCTTTGAGAGATACTTGAAAACAATATAAAGCTTAGGGGTTAGCAGATGTGCTGATGGCAGCATTGGCTCTGAAAACAGCTCTCTGCTCTGGATTGCGGAGTTTGTACTAGCAAGATAGGCTGCTCTAGAGGCTCATTCGTTTAAAATACCTGCAGTGTGTTTAGTCCTGCACGAGGCACTCTGATACCCAGTGATCAAGAGTGGTTCTGCTTTCATGTCGTTCACACGCTAGAGTACATAAGGGAGGCAAAGGTCCTAAGGTAGGCAGGAGCTCAGCATATAACCAGTGTGACAGGAGCACAAGAGCTAAGGGAGAGGGTTAGAGCCAGCATTATCTGTCTCTCACTAAATATCCTTGTATCTGAGAGAGGTACTTGGCCCATAGGAAGTGCTCAATAAATATGTGCTGGAATGTGTATATGTTACTTGGGAAGTTCAGTATGGGGCCAAAAACAGTATAGAAATAAAGGAGGTGTAGGCACTGTTTTTTTTTTTTTTTTAAACTAGATTTCATTTGGGATTCCTTAATACCTCTACCTCCCTTTTAACCCCCCAACCCTAGGTAGGAGAGAAAAAAATGTTAGAAAGGACAGAGGACATAGACCTTTTTCGACTTAGTTACCGCTTGTTAGGATTGTTGGACTCTTTGGGTGACCAATCTCAGCCGTCAGGATATCCAGTAGTCCAGCAACAGCAAACTGCAAATGCAACAGGATGAACAAACAGCCTCCTTGGAGCACCTCCAGAGGGTCTTGAAGTCCCTTTCTTGCTCTGGGCTCTGGTATTTATACTCTCCCAGAGTCCTCAGAGTTCTAATAACTCCAGCTAGCAAAGATCATGCCCCTCTCTGAGCCACATGAGGCAATTATCAGCTGTGGACAAACAAAGGCAGCCCCATGTCACACACTTGTGATTAAAAAACCTGCTTACATAATATAACTGAGTTTTTAAAGACACCAAATCTTCAACTAAGATATAGGGGAGGAGGTGGGACTTAGCAGTTGGTTGTGTGACAATAGTCTGGTGTCTAGCTGTCTTGAGGCTCAGTACTGATGAGTAGTAGCATGTAGGTGTGAGCTAGTGCTGTGCTGTCCATGGAAGCTTTAGAAAGAGGGCCCAGACTGTGGTGGTGCTGTGTGCTGCTCTTTTTATCACTTCAAATGTACAGTTAATGAAGACAGCACATTGGGACACAGGTGAGAGAGGGTGGGGATGGTACATCTGGAAGTGATGATGCAGCTAAGAGTATTTTGAAGAGGGAGACCTTGAAGTGGCTTCTGGTAGTTGGGGACACTTGGACTGTCCTGTGAATGAAATGTTGGGCTTAAGTTTATATAAAGAACAAAATCTAAAGGTTGGGAATGCTGAAGAGAGTGTGATCTTGTCATTCTACATGAGGAAGACCCATGTAGAAGACTGGCTGGAAGTCCATATTCCTGTAGAGCTAGCCCTGTTATTACCAGAAAAACTTGATAGGCCAAGGATTCTCCGAGTACAGTCAGCAGGCCTCGGAGCTTTCCACCAGTTTTAATCAGTACAGAAACCGGAGAAATGTCTTAGACACTGTCAGTGAAATTAGATGTTATGATATTAATACTACCTTGCATGAAAGTATCTGTTTATATTAGAATTAAACAGACAGAAACCTACTTTTGACACAAGTGTGAGCCTAAATGGCCACATAGGGGGAGTATTGATATATCACATGAGATGTGGGCTTGCCTGATGATAGTTTGGACCCCTTTCATCTGGCTTTCTGATCACTTTTATTTACCCAAATATCTGCCCTTCTGTCCCCCAGTCTTTTCTGTGGACATAAACACTGAGTTGCATCATCATGAAAACAGAGCTCATCAGTTGTGCTTCCCTTTTACCAGACTGCGTTTTCTCCTCTCTTCTACACAAATTTACTGTTGGTAGCCCTTTTGCCCCTCAAAGTCTCTTGTTTATCTGATTTGAAGTGTGGATATTGGTTTCTGAGGCTCTCATTGGCCTTTGCTCAGATTTCATTTGACTGCCGTATGGTACATGGTACTAATGACTACTTTTCTCACCACTTTTTCTTGCTTTACCTAAAGGGAATACTTCTGGTTTTCAGTTTTTTGGCTGTATCTTTAGACCCTGGTCACTTGTAAGGTTGAGTATTTCTCTTAAAACAGACATTTTCCCCAAGATTCTGACTTTGGCCTTTTTCTCTTCCATTTTGTTGGGAATTGTTCTCCATTCCCAGGAAGGACATCATCCTTACCTCATCCCATGTGTGATCCCAGGTTGGATGTTGTCTCTCTAGGCTGGATTTCTCACGCATTTGACACCTCTTAAGTTGACATATCCCCAACTTTCCCATTTAGAGATGTTGTATTTGGATTTAGAATTTTGGACCAGTGTTTGGAAGAGCTGTTGAGAGCATGTCGGGAAGACTGCATGAAGCAGTTCAGTGCTACCAGAGGAGAGAAGGGTTAGGACACATGAAGTGTGGGTGGGAGTGAACGAGAACTTGGAGTACAGTGGTATTCGTGAACGTTAGTGTGGCGAAAAGGCAGTCTCAAAATGGAGGGATGGGGGTGAAAAAAAGGAAAATGGGAGGGACTTGGGTCTGGGGATAGTTCCCTTTGTTCCACCTTGATGGGCAATAGTGTGATTTGCTGAGGTAAGATGTTCTAGACCAGGAAAGTCCATATTGATGCAAAGGTGATAAGTTGTATTTGGCAGTATGGCCGGGATTGGGTGCATCTGTAAGAAGAGCAGTTAGTCATTCTTCTTTAAGGGAGGTTTGTTTATCACTCATCTGGTATATCCACACCAGCCAGGTGCTACTTGTGATTGTGTTATTCCATTGGCTGTCCTCCTGTGCAGCTTCCAGAGAGATGCTGAATGATACCAGGCCCTGGCAAGAAAGTAGTCCAACTGTCTGCTATGACAAAGGCTTTCATAATGTGGTGCCTAATGGAAGTCCCGCTCCTTGTTTCCAGCTTGCTCCAGATGACGCCTGGCGGTGCCCACATTGTAAGCAGTTGCAGCAGGGGAGCATCACATTAAGCCTGTGGACTCTGCCTGACGTGCTCATCATACACCTCAAGAGATTCCGGCAGGTGAGGAATCCGGTTGCTGGGGAAGCTAGTATGGTCTTGTTCTCTTGGCTCCTCTTGGTGGCTTGTGTGGTTTCTTTGGTGACACTGTTGGATTCACCCACTGATGATGTCTGAATATGTTCACACGTGTTTGACCTACCCTGTCAGTGGTCATGTTCTAAAGCAAATTTTGAGTATCCCGTGATCCTTCAAGTCCACATATTTTACTTTGTTCTTGAGGCTTTGCTGTAGACTTGTAAATGTTTTCCTTAAAATTTAGTGTGTTTACTGTAGGTATGTGAAGTGATTCTTTGTAAGAGAGGTAGAATTCTGTTTCTGCCTAATGTAGTGAGCAGTGTTGTCCTGCTTCAAGGAGCTGTTATGTAGTTGGGGAAGGGAGTCATAATTAGATACAAATGCCTGCTTCTTGTTGTACTACTTTATGAGTCATTTTCCCCTAAAAGTCAGTCTATCTCTTGAGGTGAAGCATGTCCTAGACAGAGTAATGAGAAATGAATCTTAGTGAGTCTTTGTGGCCTGAATTTAAAAGAGTTTGTGCCTGAAAAATGAGCAGGTACGTGCTAGATGAGAAGGAGAAGCAGTACTGTATCTTCATGTGACAGAAAGCAGTGTATGCTGAGCCTGGGGCCTGAAGAGGCTGAAAGCAGGACAATGGAGTGACACACTTGAGAAGATGGGGTGGTGGTGGGATCTGAGATGGAAGAGAGAGGTGCATAGACAGCAGTTGTTCAAGCAAATCCTTGTAGGCAGAGTCACATTTTAGTGAAGAGCTTTGAATAGAAGCAGCAATTGCTAAATGTGTGTTGAAATGATCATGATGGTTAGCAGTTGCAAGTATTGTGGGCATTGTAGAGGCTGCTACTGGTTTAGGATAGGGTTGTAGCAACAGGAATGGAAAGATGTGAAGACTTAAGGTGTAGCAGGGTGGCAAGGGCAATACAACCTAGTCACAGTCTTGGGTTTTTCTAAGCATCAGTGTGGAACTTAGGGAGTGTATCAAATTCCAAAGCCCTTCTGGATTTCAGAGTTGGGATTCTGTGGTAAGGAAACATGGCATTTGCCTTGGACATTCTGCTTGGTCTCTGCAGGTGAGAAGTTGATTGAGGCTTCCAGTCCAGCCTTCTCTGTTTTCTCCTAATGCTAATTGATTTCCTTCACCTTGCCTTCCAGAATTCCAGACTCAAAACTGCAGTGTCCTCTTTGGCATTTCTTCTTGTCATTCTAATCTAGGTAGCCACTTGTGCAAGTTGATTTGGCTTTTCCATGGATTCCTGGGTGGCTGTTCCGGCTCGCTGTTCCCCTGCCACTAAATGGTTATCTGTTTTTGCTAAGACAGATGCAGCTGCAGCCTTCTAATAGATCTCTCAAGCTCTATAACGCTGCCCTTCCTGATGTGTTTGCACACTTCTCACAGTTCTTCACTGACAATTCTGGTGACATCACTGCCTCCCTACAAGTCTCAGTGTAAATAATGTCCCTGTGCTTCACCTTGGCCTTCATTCAGAAGCTTTTCTCCTATGGATAGCTTTAATAAATCCATAAATCTCCCTTAGTAGATCCATAAATCCTTAGGACTGTCACATCGTGTCTGATGTTTTTAAATGTGTTCCTGGACATAGAAAACATGAAATAATATCCACTCAACAGATTTTTAGTTTTCAAGAATATCCCAAAGGGTTTAATGGAAAATACAGATTATTCAAGATTGTTGGATAATAAGTAAATATGGAGAAGTAGAGAGGAAAGGGTCACTGCTTAGTGAATGCCTCTCCTGTGCTAGGTATCAGGGCTTGCCCTTTGCGTAGTTACACTCCATTAATCTTCAGGCCTCTGACAGAAGTATCAGGATGAACCACCTGAGATTGTCACTTTGCCTCTAAGATAAAAAAATGAAAATCCAGAGCTTCATTTTCTCCTACATGTTGGTGCTCATTGGTTCTACTTTAGGTGGTTCTAAAGCTTGTAACTGTAGGCATTTAACCCTGTTAGTCTGTTTCTCTGTTATGTGTTTTGGGAAGTATCAGATAGGTGATTCAAAGAGATTTAACTGACAGGGCCCACATTTCATGCTAAACTGAACTTCCATCTGCTTGCATTAAGATGTTATCAGAACTTGTTTTTCTTCTTGCAACAGGAAGGAGACAGGCGCATGAAACTGCAGAACATGGTCAAGTTTCCCTTGACTGGCCTGGACATGACACCTCATGTGGTTAAGAGAAGCCAGAGCAGTTGGAGTTTGCCATCTCATTGGTCCCCATGGAGACGGCCCTATGGACTCGGGAGGGACCCTGAGGACTACATCTATGATCTGTATGCTGTGTGCAATCATCATGGCACCATGCAAGGGGGGCACTACACAGGTCTGCAGTGCGAGAGGCTGCGTGTCTGTGCTGACGCTTCCTTCAAGCTGTTTGCTTGTAGCTGTTGAACCCCCCTTTCTCTTCCAGTGTGCCTTTTGCCAGCTCTGAGAGCACCTTCATCCTCCAAGATCAGATACATGAACCTTCTTCTTTCTGAGGTCATTCATCCAGTAGTGAGCAGACCTGATGGGAGAATGTTTGTAGAAGACAGCTGAGGAACACTCTTGTTTACCCAGCGTGCCTCCCAACTATAGCGATGTGATTGATGCTTTTGAGGTTCTAGCGTCTCCCTAGCTTAGAATAGTCATGAGCCACTTTCATGGCTTCTATTCTTTTAAGGGTAAATTCACTTTTGCATTATAAAAGCAACTCTGTTTAGCATAAGAAGTCTAGAGAGGTGGAAAGAATGCTATTGTGATATGGGCGAATATCAAGATAAAAGCTACTAACACTTAAAAAAATCATGGTTAAAATATAGAGATGATTAAACTTAGCATTTTAATCAGTATTAAGTATTGGTGACATTGAGAACATGTTGGCCATCACTCTCCATTTCCAGAACTTTTTCATTTTCTTAGGTAGAACCTCATTGAACAGTAATTTCCATGTTCTCCTCCCCAGCCTCTTGACAGCCATCAGACTGTCTAGGGAGCTTTTATGTGGGACTGCACAGTATGATTAATTCTTTGTAACTACTCTGTTTTACTGAGCATAATGCCTTTAAAGTTCATCCATAGTAATGCTTTGATATGACACACATGTTGAACTTTTTTTGTAGTTTTTTGCTATTTTACACTAATGTGACTATACTGGTATGTTTCATTTATAAATGTTAAACACTTTGTAGTTAGCTTGCAATGGATTCTTATCACATCAGAGGTGACTAAATCCCACTGTGTATCTTCTAGGGATAGAAATAAGTAGGCAGAGACGCAGATACAAATAAAACTTACGGGTAGAGCCATGTGTGTAATAAGTGGTAGTAGAAGAGAACCCAGGAGAGGGGAGGAGAAGCTGCCTGAGACAGGTAACCTGGCGGAGCAGCACTGCTTAGGGCTCAGGGAGAGCCACACCTTTATTGTGGTCCAGTAAAGGTGCTGCTGCTTAACGAGATGATAGCATCTGAGCTTGTGTAGTTACGTTGATGTTCTAATGACAAGTTGTCTAGCATTGCATTATCTCATAAGTGACTTGACTAGTAACCATTCCTGTTGCTAAACATTTTGTTTCTGTATTTAAACTTTTTTTGTTTTTAAACTTTTAATCTAATATTTATGACTCTCCTTGTACATACATTTTATTTTTCCTGAATTTTGATTCTTTATTTCTTTGAGATTGAGCTTCAGAAATGTAATTATTGGATTAAAGGTATGTAAGAACCATGTAAAAGGCAGATTTTAAGGTTTCTTACTTAGACATTTGTTTATATAAGGATTAATGTGAAGGAAATACTGTTATTTGGTTATCTGTATAGGTGTCTTAAGACTCAGATTGCTGTATCCTCTATCTTCAGTGTATTTGATGAGCATGATTCTCAAGAGCGTAATTTCTTTATCGGTGCAGTGGTTTCTCTAACAAGACCCTGGCACTCTAATGTTGGCCATTGTCTCATAGTGGTGGATGAAGATGAAGTAGGGGTAAGGGGCTGGACAGATAGTATTTTAAAATTCTCGAGATTCTTCTAGCAGTTACCTACCAATTCCCCTGTGTATTAGCAAGGTAGCGGTGTCTGTTAGCCTTCCCAGCCTTGCATGCTCTTTCAACCTATTCTCTTCCAATCCTGGAGGACAGGAAGATGACTAGGTATAGTTGCTCATTCTTGAAACCCTTTTAGATTAACTCTGCTGGCAGCAGCTGTTTTTGAGAGGAATAACCCCAGCTTCTGGGTGTGTTCAAGACAAAACAGTTTGGCTTCTGCTTGTCTGGGAAGCAATTGCAAGGAGAAAAAAAAAAAAAAAAGAGGCTCCCACGATGCTTTCATGTTACAGAAGACATTAATAGCTTAAATATGTTTTACCTTGGGCTTTTGTTCAAACACTATTTAGATGGCAATATAATATTTGTTTTATCTATTTTTATAGCAGCCACTTGTGTGATGATTTCTATTTGGATATTTGCTTTTCTGGCATTATTAGTAATGTCTTAGTTCTTGGATACATAGACATGGGATAGTCATGGGACTATATATTCTTTACTCTTAGTATGGAAAGGACTTAGAAGTAATTGTAATTTACTAATTACTTTCTGTATTAACACCTTCACCAGCATTTCTGGTTGATATTTACACTAATTCAGCTTTGGTGAAGAAGTCATTTTGCAAAATAGGTCCCTATTATTATATACTGAGTAGGCAAGAACTTGTTAGGGAAAATGGGACAGCGCTAGATTTTAGAATATTGTGTTGTTCTTTATTTCGCACAGACTTTGGAAACCTTGTGAAAACCCCCAGGAGCTTGGGTGAGATTGTAGACCCGTCTTCCTAGCTCTGAGCACTTGGCCAACTAACTTTACTTGGGCCCTTGAAGCACAGTAGTGACTGTGTCTGCTCATTGCCCTGTACCTAGGAGGTGCTCACATAGTCTGTATCGGTGGTTCTTAGTCTTCCTAATGCTGTGACCCTTTATGTTGTGGTGACCTCCAACCCATAAAATTATTGTTGTTACTTCATAACTGTAATTTTGCTACTGTTAGGAATTATAATGTAAATATCTGTGTTTTCCAGTGGTCATTTGAAAGGGTTGTTTGACCCTAAAGGGGTCATGACCCACAGGTTGAGAATTGCTGAACTATATTATTTCTTCTCTTCTGTTCTATGTGTGTATTTGGGTGTGTGTTTGAAGGCCAGAGAACAACCTTGAGTGTTGTTCCTCAGGCTTTGTCTGCCTTGTGAGACAGCCTCTTACTGACCTGAAGCTTGCCAGTTAGGCTGGGCTGGCCATTGATCCTTGATATCCGCCTGACTCTGCCTCCCCAGGAGTGGGGTCACCAACATTTGCCACATGGAATGGTCTCCCCAGGCCTCTCCTTTCTGCTCTTAAGGCAAACCACTACTTGTCTCATCTTTAAATGTTTACAGTTACTGTTTAGAGAAAATAACTCTTGGCATTACTTTTTTCTTTTTAATTACATTTATTTGTTTATTTGTGCTGGGGGATGGCAGTGTGTGTGAATGTCACAGGACTACTTGTGTGAGGGATTTGGTTCTATCTTTTTATCATGTGGGGCCCAGGAATCAAATAGGCTGTAAGTATCTTTATTTGCTGAGCCACCTCATAGCATTTTAAGTTGAACATACTGTTTTTAAGTCACTAGAATGTGACATTCATGAGAATGTCTTTGATGCATTCTTGCTATATTGCATGGTATGTGTCTGGCTAGTTTGTACAAGGATTTTACCAGAGCCTCTCAAACTGTGATAAAGCCCTCACTATTTTCTATTTTAGCATTTCCAATCCTTCATAAGCCAATTTTGTAAAAATACAATAGAGATGTTACAGCAGTATCATATTGCTAGACGTTTTTTATTGCTTATCTTTGTTTTGGTGCCTGCTTTTGTGGACAAATGCCAGTGTCTGAGCCACAGCTCTGGCCTAGAAAATACTTTGAAAGGCAGTGTTGGGGAGAAAAGCAAGTAGAATTATAAATAGTTAGCTTAATAGTTACTCCATGGCCTTTCCATGCCATGTTTGAGAACAAACCAACCTGAAAGGAAACAGACTGAACTAGAGCAAGGTTACTCTATCTCCTGGTGGGTGTGTCTGCTGTGCAGTTCTGCTCCCACTCGCCTCTCCAGAATAGCAGCCTCCTCCCAGATGGGCCATTTGTACATCAGCCTGGCCTGACACCATTGGCCCAGCCGTTGCTGTTGCTATGATGTCTCCACTTCATTTTTCTCTGGTTCTGGTAGCAACACATTATTTCCCTCCTACATTGGGAGCCTTTGCTTCTCTTTGGAGATCTGTCTAGCTAGCAGCAATTCCTCACCCGAGTCCGTTTCATCTCTGTGGTTCCGTACTTACGAAAGTGAAATGGCCTAATGAGAATATCCCTTACTCACGGTGCCTCTCAGGATTGTATGTGCCCTGTCCTTGAAGGGCCATCCTTAGTCTGTGTCAGCATTTACTGACTATTCCAGCACTCATCTGTGTTCAGGCAATGGCTGTTTTTAGAAATGTAATAATAATGTGCTTTTCCAGATCACGCTTTATAAGATCCCTTGATCTAGCCTAGTAGTATGACTTGGCTTTATGACCTCAAGGTTTTGGGATAGGTATGGTGCTTGTGATTGAACTCAGGTTTTTGGGCATGCTAAGCACATAATTGGTTACTGAGCTATACTCCTAGCCCCAGACAAGAGTCTTATTGGCTCTTGCTGGTTCTTATTTTTGTTTCTCTCGATGGCACTCAAATGTTCTTTGTTTTTATCTCAGGCCATGTTTGTATTCTTGAACTCTGTGTTCTCAAGTTTGTCAGGGAACTTCTGTAGATTGTTTAGGCTTTCCCTGAAGGAAAAGGGTGGGGTACGGTAGGGCTTTAAGTACAAGCCAAAGAATTAGAAACCCAAATGCCATGCACTTAGCCTTTATCAGCTGTGGGACCATGTGCTAGGCATAGGCAGCCTCTGTGTGTAGGATAATATGGGAGTGTGTGTGGAGCATGTGTATGGAGGCCAGGGTCCTCTGCTGCACCCACTTTGTGGTTTTTTTTTTTTTTGTTTGTTTATTTTTGTTTTTGTTTTTTTGCGGGGGGGGATTTTGCTGGGTGCTAGGGATTGAACTCAGGTCCTCATTTTTGCCTGGTTAGCACTTTACCAGCTGAGCTATGTCCCCAGCCCCATAAGTAATCTTTCTGAACTTGAGTCAATCTGTAGTAATAAAAAATTAAAGGATTAAAATGAGATGTTTAGATTATGGTAGGTCTTAGAAATCAGTTGATGGGCTGCTCATATTATTTTACATCATTAATAAACTCTAAAGTGATACAGCAACAAAAATCAAAAGTTCTCTACTGTGCCTTTTGACAATGAGACTGGATAATTTTATGTTGTAGAATACTTCCTTTGCATTGTGGACATGCCTGGACTCTACTCATTAGGTACTTTTTGACCCCCACCCCCCCCCTCTACCCCCCAATTGTGACAGAGTATTTTTGTTCGTTGCCAAGTGTCTTTAGCAGGAAAAAATTGTCCTTGGTTGAGACCTACTTATACACAGAAGTATAATGAGTGTTCTGAGATGAAACAGTTATGAAATTGGAATACTTAGGAATTTCTTAGAACATTCTGCCTGGTTGTGAATTGAAATTTAGATTTGTTTTTATGTTTTGTTTTGTTTTGTTTTCCCTTAATTTCTTTCTGTCAGTTTGGGCAGTCTCAAATGCTGTTGAATGAATCATATGCATGAAATGTAAAGGATGTTGTCTCTGGGTAAAGTGCCTGCTGTGGCCTTGCTGGTGCTGACAGTGGGCTCTTTTTGGCAGCGTACTGTAAGAACTCTGTGGATGGTCTCTGGTATTGCTTCGATGACAGTGATGTACAGCAGCTGTCAGAAGATGAGGTGTGCACGCAGACAGCCTACATCCTTTTCTACCAGAGGCGGACAGCCATCCCATCGTGGTCGGCAAATAGCTCGGTGGCAGGTAACCTGGTTCTTGGGTGTTTTTCCCAGAGCAAGAGGTTATTTCATGGTCCAGAGGATGTCCCAGAGAGTTTCATTATTAAAAGCTCCATAAGATTAATTTTCACATTTCCACTTAATCTGGGAACTAATATGATCTCAGTCAAGGAAGTTTGAGTAGACCAGCAGAGTTCACATAGAAGTGGGGACAGATCCTAGCCAAATCACTCAGAGTTTACTTCAGGGTCAGTGCCTGGAGGAACATGTTAGCAGCCTGAGGTGCTGTTCTGACATCTGTGTAGGCTACCTTGGAACACGTCCCTTCTGAGCCACCTGCTCGTCCTCGATGTGGCTGTGACCATAACACTGCTCAGTGTGGTGTCGCTATTTGCTTTAACATTGGTGAAGGTTTAGGAAAGCATTCTGTAACCAATAAAGAGTATTCTGTAATCATTAGAAAGAGTTCTTTTTCTTCAGTAAGACTAATCTGTTCTGTTAGGGGAAAGGTTGATGGCTATTAACTGATTGAGGGCTTAGTTTTGCTAATGAGATGCAGTCTGTTATATTAGTAAATGTAGAAATGAGTCCCACACAAAACATGGATGCACCTAGGTACTCCAAACTATGTCTTTAAAAAAGTAGGGTAATTTGAAATGTGGTAATGTATCAGTAAAGAGACAGGAAGTGGTGACCCGTGTCCCTTTACAAGCCTATACAGGGGTATGCGTGCTCAGAGCACGCGAGAAAAGCTTCATTCAAGCAGAGCAACCCCTGCCAGGAGACAAGCTCTGCTCAGTGAGGGGGTAGGCTGCTCCCCTAACTGGAAGGGGGAACTCTGGTACTCTTAGGGCTTTCCAGTATCTCAGATGTACTAAAAAAATTACAGTCTCTTGGGGCCTGTTTGAGACATTGCTGCATCATGTTACCAATTTCAGGAGCACTATTTATTGCCCTATATTTAAGGCTACCCCTAGAATTGACAGGACAGACTGACATATAGGACATTGGTGTGTCCCCCCCCCCCATATTAGTATGTATCATTAATATGGTGATAATGGCTTTAAAATGCCCAAAAAACATGGAGGCTAAGAAAAACAATGTCTGTATTATCACTCTTCCTCTGGGTGATTCAGTAGTACTGCCATTGTTGAGAGCTGTGTACATAGTGAGTCCCTGTAGAGTGAGTGGATGTGTGTTCCTGTTCGTTATTCCCTTGCCAGGACTTGATGTTGCTTTTGGAAACAGTTATTCTACATTTGCATTTTGTTTACATGACCTTTCTGTATGCAGGAATTGCCTGGAGTTTCCTCATCTTTGCTAGGGATAATTAGCTCTGGGTGTTTGTCTTAACTTTGGGTAAGGACAGAAGTCTCTGGCTTGACTGTCAGCACCTTGACAGGATGTGTGCAGCAGGACTCTGGCTGACCTCAGAACTTGTCTCCTCCTCTGCAGGTTCTACAAGTTCTTCTCTGTGTGAGCACTGGGTGAGCCGGCTCCCCGGGAGCAAGCAAGCCAGTGTGACCTCTGCAGCCTCCTCCAGACGCACCTCCTTGGCCTCACTCTCTGAGTCTGTGGAGATGACAGGGGAAAGGAGTGAAGATGATGGTGGGTATGGGCCTTGGTGTTCCAAATGGCAAATCACACACAGAGCACAGGTTCTGTAGGCTTAGGAACAGTCTTTTCTCAAGGAGATTGTAGAACTTAAAGGAATTGGGGTGCATAACTGGGTTCTGGCTTCTCAGTGACTCAGGGTTTTCTCCTTCCACTTCATTATTTCCCACTTCTGTATTCTGGCATGCAGATTAGAGTGTTAACTCTTACAGTAATAGACACTTTTTGCTAAAATGGCTGTAAGGACTCAGATGTTCAATCTTGCCTGGGATGTTCACAGCTTAAGGAGATACCATTGACTCAGTTTGACCTCTACTCTAAACATAGTCCTATCCATACTGGAGAAAATCTGATTAAATATTGAAGTGGGTATTATTTGTTTTTTTTCTTGGTACCTTTCACTTACTGTTTGAGTATTGACAGGATAGCCCTTACGGCTGTCAGGAGCCCCAGGTGGCATGGGATGGATTGGGTAGCCAGAACACTAAAAGCTGGAAAGAGGGAGGGAGAGCTCAACATCTACAGTGAACACAGTGAGTCATCTTCCAATGAGGTTTGCTTTGCTGCCAATATTCCAGTTGCTTTAATCTGCTTCTAGGGGTGATGTATAATTCTGAAAGAATGAAATGGAGCCAAAATGGAAGGTGGTTGGGAGGAAGCCAAACTAGGAGAGCTTTGGCATGGCTCTAGCTCTACCTGTTTTGGCATTTAACTTTTTTTTTTTTTTTTTTTTCTTGTGAAGCAGAAATATATTGGACTATTATTGCTAAGACCTTCCTCATTTCTGGTATTTTATGAAAAGCTAACAAGTGAACCTAGCCTGTTAGATGGATGCTGTTCTCATCGCAGCCCTGTAAACTCTGAATTTGCTGCTGCTTTAACAATAAACCCAGAAATAGCTTGCCTTAATCTATTTTTAAACAGTCTAGTTGGTGAAGTCAATATCTTCTTAAGCATCATCATCATTTAGTCATGCTCAGTGGTCACATAGAACAGAGCCTGACTCTTAAGAGTCACAAAGGCCACAGCTACAGTAACAAATGTGTACAGAATTCAGTTTGGAATTGTCTTGGGAAGTTTTAAGCCATTAGAAATACTAGCCTCTCAGTCAATTAAGATACTATATATTATATCCAAGGCTCTACCTCTTTCCATGAATGCCCTTTCATTGTTACCTGTTACGGACTTATTTTCACAGGGAATGCAATGGGGGTCATGGGTTCTTGTGTCATTTTGGGCAAGTTGTTTATTCTGTGAGTCTCAGGTGGCCTTCAGGAAGATGAAGGAGTTGGATTAGCAGCCCATGTTTAGTGAACACCTGGGACTGCCAGGATCCTTTCTAGACACAGACTTCTAAGATTTTGTTTAATTAGACCAGTAGTCCACAGGCCACTTGTGGATGGCTGGTTTTTCCATAGTTTTTGGAACATAATCATTCATGCTTGTTTATGTGCCACCTGTGGCTGTTTTCATCTTGATATGCCAGAGCTGAGCAGTTGCTTGAACAGCCTGAGAGAAAGCACGCTGACTGTAATGTAGGATGCGGTAGATAGAGAACATTTTGCTGACTTCAGAGTTACCATGATCCTCTTATGGATAAGGGAACTGATCTTCAAAGGGTTGAAAGCGCACAGCTTTCTTTGACTGTAGCAGACAGGCTGGTTTTGAAGGTCATGGTCCTGTCATTCCTTCAGGCTTGCCCTTAACTCTGTCTTCAGTATCTTACTAAATGTTTTTGTTGGTTTAGCCTGACAGATTTTCTTTGCCGTGCAGGAGGCTTTTCTACGCGACCATTTGTGAGAAGTGTGCAGCGTCAAAGCTTGTCATCCAGATCTTCTGTCACCAGCCCCTTAGCTGTCAATGAAAATTGCATGCGGCCTTCTTGGTCCCTGTCTGCCAAGCTGCAGATGCGCTCCAGTTCTCCTTCCCGCTTCTCAGGGGACTCCCCGATCCATGGATCTGCTTCTACCCTTGAGAGGATTGGGGAGGCAGGTGATGACAAAGTCTCCATTTCTTGCTTTGGTAGTCTGCGGAACCTTTCTGGTAGCCACCAGGAACCAAGTGACAGTCAAAATAGACGAGAGCACAAGGCTGTGGGCCGGGCCCCACTGGCTGTCATGGAAGGTGTGTTCAAAGATGAGTCGGACTCTCGAAAATTGAACCCCAGTGTTGTAGATACACCAAGCAAAAACCGAGCACAAGGGGATTGTTTGCCCCCCATCTCTGATCCTTTTGACAATAATAACCAGATTGCTTATGTGGACCAGAGTGACTCTGTTGACAGCTCTCCAGTCAAAGAGGTGAAACCTCCAAGCCACTCAGACTCCCTCACAAAGAAGCCAGAGAGCACAACCAAGAGATCCCCTAGTTCCAAAGGCACTACTGAGCCAGAAAAGAACACGCGCAAGGGGAGGCCAGCCTTGGCCAGCCAGGAATCTTCTCTTTCAAGTCCATCCCCGTCTTCCCCTGTTCCTGTGAAGGTTTCCATGAAACCCACCCGCTGTCGGAATAAAGCAGATTCTTCCAGGACCAGTGGAAGGCATTCGTCCCCTGCCTCTACCCAACCCAAAAAAGAATCATCCCCCAGGTCCCAGGAATCCATGTCATCTCCTTCACCACAGAAGCAAAAGTCTGCTTCTGCCTTCACTTACTCCTCTTCTTCCATATCTGCCAAAAAGGCCCCAGGCCCTGCCACCAGGGGCCCCTTTCCTTCTGGGAAGAGCAGGACTTCTGACCGGAGCTTGAGTAGAGAGGGTTCCAGACAAAGCTTAGGTTCTGACAGAGCCAGTGTCACCTCCACCTCCACCTCCACCTCCAAACCCAGCTCCCCTCGGGTGACTCAGGCCAGAGCAGGGGACAGCAGATTTGATGGCAAACATGTCCGGAGCTCCTCCATGGCCAGCCTGCGTTCACCTAGCACAAGTGTACGCTCGGGGTTGAAGAGGGACAGCAAGTCTGAGGATAAGGGATTATCTTTCTTTAAGTCAGCCTTGAGACAGAAAGAAACCCGGCGGTCAACTGATCTTGGCAAGACAACTTTGCTGTCCAAAAAGGCTGGTGGGAGCTCTGTCAAGTCAGTCAGTAAGAATACCACAGATGACAAGGCAGAGAAAGGCCATCAGCCCCCAGGTTCACAGCAGCCAAACACAAATGCAGTTGGAAAGGAACAGCTTGTCTCTAAGGACCCTGCTTCTGCTAAACATTCCTTGCTATCTACTCGCAGATCCAAGTCTTCCCAGCTAGATTCCGGAGCGCCCTTGTCTCCCAGTAGCAGGCCGACCACCGAGAAAGGCTCCAAAAAGCTGTCTTCTAGCATGCAAACCTCTGCACGGCCTTCTCAAAAACCTCAGTGATCTTCTGCAATCGGGTGTTTTATCTGTACAGATGTCTTATTTATTTAGAACCCCTCCCCTCCCACCAAAGCCCTCTATGCTTTTATTTTGTAATTTTGGGGTCATGTGCCTGACTGTGAGAGTATGAGTGTGTGTGTGTGTGTGTGTGTGTGAAATTGTTAAAAGTGTCGCCTTATTCTGCCATTGAACCAAATAACAGCCATAGGCTAAGCATTGCTATCAAGCTAACTGGGATAACTGTAGAAAATAATCTGGATAGTCCCCTTGGCAATTGTACCTATGTCTTTCCAGAGAACTCTGATGACTCACGTTGGACACTAGGGTTTGCCAACCTGTGAACCACTTAAGCTATGAGTGTATAGTCAGATGAACTGCTTGACTTGGGCTTCATCTGAGCAGAATTTCTCTTCATGTGGGTTGTTGAGTGGCATCAGGAGCTTAAAAAGCAAGCAAACAAACAAAGCTGACGCTAACAACAAAATAAACAGAGGGAAAACTTGCTTTCTGCACTTTGGCCCCATCTACCAGTCTTTGTAAGGGCAATATTGTAACACTAATGTTTCTCAGGTATATAGACTCAGCTAGTCTAGGATGGGTGTGCATTACTAATAAATGGGTTCAAGAGGAAGGGGACATGTTGGGTGGTGACTGTGTCCTTTCTCCTACTGCCACAGGTAGAGGTTTTACAGGTAGACGTAAGATCTTTGCTACCTTCTCACCTGCAGTGATAGCCTGCTTTCACTCCTTAGATATGTCCTAGGGTGTGACAAATTTTGAATTGTGAGAAAGACAGTCACTGATTAATTTTTTTTTTTCATTCTAAATTTGCTAGCTAAGACCATTGTAAGTTTCAACTGTAGCAGAAAAGTTAATGCCTTTGAAAGATTTCCAGAAAAAAAATTTTTCATTCCAAGCTGGAAGCCTGAGTGGATACCATTTTCCATCCCTGATGTTACTTGTTCCTGTTGCTGCCCCTTGGGTGCATGCATACTGCTTTGTCTTGTTGCTTGGAAAAGATAGAAGTTGCCTCCTGCCAAGAGCAACTGATGGAGCATTGACATGATGTGAGACAAAGCACTGCTCATGCACTTTGGGTCCTGCCTGTCAGTCTTCCTCTTGACGCTTTTCAGTAACTCATATATGTCTATTCTGTTCTGAAGAGTTAAGCTCAGACCCGGGACTCAGAAGCTGAGTCTGGCATGTGTTCCCCCTGGCGTGGAGTTGCAAACTGCATTCTTACATACAGAAAGGGGAACCTCACTGAATTCTCACAGATAGGGAAAATACAATTTTCCAAGCCTTGTGGAAATCTCTTGGAAATACTCTGCAGTCCAGCTTTTTAGTATCTTTTATTTATTTATTTTTTTTTTTTAGTCTCAAGAGAATCATGGTCCTGATTCTCAAAATAGCATTCGTCATTTTGTCATTAAATATAGCATGCTGAGTTTACATGTTATTAAATTCCAAGGACTGTGGTTCCCAGGTCTCCCTTTTCAGTGTTTCTGTGAAATGACTGCAGTGCATATGTGCATGCAGTGTTGATTTCTGCACTGTCCTTTTGTTCTTTTTCTTCTTTTTAGGGATACCTCTTGGGAAGTATTTCTAGTAGGTTACTTAATTTTATTTTGCTGCTACTATGGACATTAGCTGGTAGGTTGCAGGGTGAGACTGGCTGGGACTTTCAGCCCTTGTGGTATCTGAGGCTGAGTTGTTTAGCCTTGTGCACCTTGCCACAGTGCCCTCCACACCATCCAGTGTGAGTGAGCCGGTACTGCACTCAGTCCTCCACTGGCTGCTTCTGCGTCCCCCTGTGGCTTCCCAAAGCACTGCGGCTCTCCGCCCTGCCGTGGTGTGACTGAGGTGACAGCTGCCCTGCGTGTCATCATTGCTCAGTGGCACAAGATGAGCCACATCAGTGTTTAGCCACCAGTCTTGTTTTCTTTTATTGTCTTTATTTTCTGAAAAAGCACCAAATGTGAGACCACCGGTATCAGGAAGTGAGCATTTTTGTGATTTGAGCCTCTGAAACAGTCTTAGAATTATAGTGTGATAAGACAAAGAATTTTAATTACAAACTGGCCATAATTAAGATGAATAGAAACTGGTTTAATTTTCACAGTACTACATAGTTTTATTCTTGTAGGAATGGTTCCTCCCTCCCCTGTGTATCATGTTTTCTTAAAACAAAGAAACAGAAAAAATCCTCTACAAGTCTCTTTTCCATGGGATCTAGAGATACAATTTCTATAATATAATAAAATCTAAAAGCTACATGTCTATGGAGTTTAGTCCTTATTTCACATTTAATAGGAAAACTATCAGGAAGTATCATGGCATTACCTAGGCCAATGAAGCTGGTATGCTTGTGAGGTTGGTAAGCAGTGAGGTCTAATTCCTTACTACTGGGATGCCTGTAAGACACAGAAAGCTGCTTTAAAAGTGCTGCTTGAAGAGAAATAGCTTATGCGAATTTTGTCACTTGATTCATTCAACTTTGGCAGGGTTAGGGACTTGGTTATTAAAATCTTTTTCCCAGTGGTTTGGACACAGTGATCATGTGTGCTTTGAGGTCAAAATAACCTACTGAGATGGTAGGCCTGAGGTTCCTATTAGCAACTCACTGGTCCTGGCTAGGGCAGTCATTCCCAGTGGGCACACTGCAACAATGAGCAGTGTGATTGATGCATTACTAATGTTTTTTTTTTTTTTTTCTGTTAAATAAACCCCTTTTCTTCTTGCTCTCTTTTCCTGTAAACATGTGCATGAGGCTACAGCATTCCTTAAGTCAGCCTTCCACGTTGCCTTCACAGCTCCTGAGATGATGTGGAAGATGAGGCTCAGATGCTCATGCCACTTAAGACCCTTGCCAACTTCATTTGTGTTTTCTCATGCTGAAAAGTAGCTTGAGAGTAAGTAGTGCTATGTCAAACCTATAAAGCAGTGTTGGATAGCTGTGCTGTGCCACAGTTGCACAGCGATCTGAGGTGCCTTGCATGCATGTAATCCTCACTTAATCATTCATTTGGGCCTGCTCTGCATATAGAGGCAAGCAGAAAGCTTCAGCAGTCTGCTGTAGTTGAGGATTCCTGGGAGACACCACATCAGTGTCACCCACACAGATTCTGGTTGGCTAAGGCCTGAGGTTTTCAAGTTTATTTTGTCTGAAAACCTAAAGTGTCCTTGTTCATCTCTGGAGACAGTATGATCTTCTGACCACTGGTTCAGACTGAGCGGTCTTTACTGTTAGGGGTTAGAATGCAGTACCTAGTCACTTTGCACCAGAATTAACCCTCTGTATTTGTATGAGGTTGATAAGGAGATTATTGAGGAATGGGAGGCACTGCCATCCCTCTAAATTAACTATATATATATTTAAAAAAAAATAGTAGGAATGGCATATAAAGGGAGCAGTAGTGGCAGCTTAAGGGAATATGGATTAAAGCGTTATGAACAAAGTTTTCAAATACCCTCTTTAAGGAGATGGATACGTGGTATCATATTTCATTTTGACAGATTACTTGCTAGCTGAAGTTACTGTTTCCCGTGTAGATTGTCACTGAATACAAAGATAGTGCTCTGGGTGGGAGTTTTGAGCTAGGTTGAAAGTCATAAGCACAGGTTCACTACAACACATTTTGGAGGTACATTGATGTTTATATTTTGGAGTTGAGAAGGGCAGAATCTACAAGCCAGTGCCTACCGTAAAAAAATATAGCTGCTAGTGTGCAGGCCTCTCTTTAGTTTTATAAAGGGTTCATTGCTGTTCAACCTGACTGCACCTTTCAGGAGGGACATAAGTCTTTTATTTATTTCAGTGACTGCCCAGTGTCCCATGCTGCCTTTTGATCAGATCCCAAACTTTTTTCCAGCTGCATTTTGAGCATGACCAATCATTTTTACCCCCAAGTAAAGAAAACAGTTGTGCATGCCCGCCATCTAACCCAGAAAGCATGCTTATACTACCTATGCAAGCAACTGATTACAAAGCATATGAGAAATTACACTAAACATGAGTTTTTAGAAAGAAGAAAGACAACTCTTAGATTCTGGAGCTCTATTTTTGAATTTGTAATTTTTTAAATGTGGCTTAATCATCAGTGTAGGTGAGCATGAATGTGAGTTTTAGGTTCCTTTGCATCTTTCTCCGCCAGTCTTTGCTCATTGGTTAGAGTGTGTATAAAATAGTATTTTGCAAACAGAAGTGGGTTGGACATGTTGAACATACACTGGTGTATATACTGTATTTAGCCTGAAGACTTTCCTAAAGTATTTTGTTCTAAAAAAAAAAAATAATAACCTGCCATTTTCTATAGATTTTAATTTTTTATATCTTCAAGCATTGTTTTGTCATCACAAGGAGAGGTGTGGCTTTACACAGTGCTAACTTTTTAAGTGCTTTTGTAGAGGCGTGGAGCTGCTTAGGAAGGTTTTGGAGCTTCCCACCTACAAGTCTTAGAAAGATTAAGCCTGTGGAATGTGTGATCGTGCACCACGGATTCAGGTCTAGATCCATCTCACATTCATTTAAAGCCGTTGCCTCCCAAGGGGCAGGAGTCTCATAGCATATCTAAGAGGTGTCTTCAAGTCTCATACAGGCCCCTTCTGGATGATTCACCTGAGGTCATTATTATCATCAAGGGACTTGGAATGTCCGGGCTGCTCCCAGGCTTCTGATGCCAGTTAGCACTGGCTGGGTCCCATGACTCTCTTCTAGTTTGCAGTCAGAACTGAAGGATATGGTACGCCATCTTTTTTGCCAACAATTATGGTGAGAATCCTCACTGCCATGCAAAGTACCCAGGAGGAACTTCAGTTGTGTTGGACAAGAAAATTAAAAGAAGGTGTCAAAATCCTCGGCTTGAAATCAGGGTGTGTGTGTGGGGCTTTCCGACTTGAAGGCCTGATTTGGAAGAGGGAAGCATTTTATGGGTGATATGTTACCTGCCAGTCTGGGGGTTGGTTTTACTTGCTGGTGCTGGGCAGAGTGCCCCAAAGGGTCCAAATTCATTCCCAGAACCTCTCTTCAGATTCTGCTGTGGGACTGAGGCCTGTGCAGTAGAGGGAAGTCACTCCAGGTTAGAAACTGTAGAAGACAGTAGGAAGCTACCTGTCTAGCCTTGGGAACTCTGCCCTGCTTTTGACAGTACAGTTGCAAACCACAGGAGGGAGACACTGGGCCTCCTCCTGCTCAGATTGCACCCCACTCCAGATCTTTCCTACTTGGAATGTAGTTTTCAGGAAACCTTTTTAGTTTGAAAACAAATGTGAAACAATTTATCCAAGTTATTTTGGAGCCCTTGTTGCTATTTTTAAAAGTAATTTAAAAAATCAAGTAATACTTATCGACGAATTTGGCAGTATATGTTACCTCCAGAGGCACATGAGGTTTGGTTTTAATCTGTGGTGAGCCAGGTGCCCTACACCATCTTCAGAATAATCCACTGTGTTACGTGGCCTCATCCCATTGAGCGTCAGGCTGCCTACAAAAAGTTGATCTGACGTGGTCCATTTTTTAAGGATACCGGGAAAAAAAAAAAATCAGAGCTGGGACAGCTTTGGCACAGCCTCTCAGAGTCGAGCTCTGCTGTGAACTCGCAGCATGAACTTTTTTAGGTGCTATTCCAGACTGGGGGACTGTGTTTCTGGGCTTGCGGTTCCGTCCATCTTCCCTGTAGACATGTTCTCTGTGTAGGTCCGCTCACCAACTGTGCCTCTCACCACTGGTTAAAATTGAATTCAGGCCCCATTACCGAAATGGTTTCTTGATTCTCTTGTGTCTTTGCACCGGTGTTTATTTCTCTAGTTGTCTTAAAGGCTGCATGTCATATCACTGTACACAAAATGCTTTGGTGTTCATTCATGAGTCATCTGTAGTGAGCTCTGTACAAACTTAATCTTACAGTGAGAGGATGGCAAAGTATCCTTCCTGCAGGCCGGAAGAAAGTGTATCCGACATTTTAAATTATGTTAGGCCAAGTGCATGAGGTGTGTCACTGCCTTCTGTTATTTATTTGTATATTTTATTATTCGAGGTGTACGCACTTTTAAGAAGCAGAATTTATATTTTTATGTTGAAAACGTTTTCCTTCTGAGACAGCAGTTGGTTATACAGTTGGAATCAAGAGAAAACTGGAAAATGTAACAGAACAATAAATTTATTACATGATGCCTTCTTCAAGACATACTCTTTTCTCCCCCTTGCCGAACCAATTTAAACGTCAACCAATACTTGTACTGCATTGATTTCTACAGCAGAGTGCTTTAAAATTGCAGTGTTTCAGGTAAAATATAAAGTTACAGGATACTGCCATGCAGTCTGATCAACTCCCCATGAAGGTACTGTGTGAAAGATCACATCCATACTTATTCAATGTTCCCAGTCATTGACGGTATGAGGGATAAGAGACTGTCCTCGGCTGCAGAGCTGGGCAAGGAAGAGCTCACAATCTGCCCAGACTCTCATTGTTCCTCTTTGGTGATGAGAGGCAGCTACAACATTAAAACAAAACAAAAGCAAACAAAACTTTCCTCAGCCTTCCATCACCCCTTACACACATAATGCCTGCTTTATTTTATTTATGTGTGTGAGTGTTTTGCTTGCATGCATGGAAGTGCACCATTTGTGGGCCTTTGTCTTGTGCCTAGGGGGAAGTTATAGAAATAACTCTTGGAACTGGAGTTACTGATGGCTGTGCTCCACTGTATGGGTGCTGGGAACTGGACCGGGGTCCTCTGGAGGAAACCACTGAGCTGTCTCCCCAGAACCCCAGTAACTAGCTTGTAACCCGCTTTCGGAGCTGTTTTTTGGTTTTGGTTTTGGTTTTTTCCTTCTAGCTGTCTTGCCAACACAGAACTTTCCAGTGGGGCTGTCATATCATTTATGACCACTTGGGGGCAATAGAGCTCAGCATTCGTCTTTGATGTATTTTAAAAGTCCAGCAGTTTTTAACTTCTCATCTGAGTCTGGAAATGCCTAGGATGAGTTGAGAATAGCATCTCTGAGCATGGCTTGCTTATTTAGTAAATACTCCAGCCAGCCATCACTCCCAGAAAAGTGAGCAGATACTTTTCCCCCCAAAGCACAGCACAGGGCTGGGCAGACCACGTGCTGGGTCATCCAAAACAGCATTTGCCTTCCCCTCTAGTTTGGAATGGTAAAATTTTTCCTTTAGCTTAACCACAGCACACTGTTGACTAAGGAGTTTTCATTATGCATCTAAACGTTCACGTATAATATGTAGATCTAATATTTGCACAAATATTTAAAGATTACTTTGTCAGTCTCCTTTGAATTTGAAGGATTATTTTCAAATAGTTGAATGCTCAGTGACTCCAAACACGTTTTAGCCTCTTAGCCCAAAGGAAGCAAAGACTCCAGACTTGAGCAGATGTCTGGTTTTGCCTGTGGCTCTCACCTTTTTTTTTTTTTGGCATCTCCACGTAGGTTGTCCAGGACTTTGGCTTACCTGGTGGGTAGGCTCTACTTCATGCGGAATCCTTTGGGATTCTGTCTTCTTTAGGTCTTGGCTCCCGATCATATTTTTCCTCTCTTTGCTGACATTCACTACTCAGGAAGAACAAGAGCTCTCCTCTCTTGGAGACAAATTTTGCATATGTAGCCCAGTGAACATCACCCTGAAGGGCTGTGTCATTAATTTGGCTTAAGGCTTTGGGGGTTTAAACAGCACCATTAAAAATTTTTTTTTGGTTTATTATTTTGTGCATGTGAGTGTTTGGCCTACACATATGTTAGTGCACCATGTACATGCCCGTGCCAAAAAGATAGGGAGATCCTCTTGGAACTGGAGTTATAGGTGGCTGTGAGCCACCATGTGGGTGCTGGGAATTGAATCCAGCCCTCCTCAAGAGCAACAAGTGCTCTTAACCTTCGAGTCAATTCTTTAATTCCCCCATTTTTCCTGAGTTGAAGGTAATATGAAACTAAAATATTTGTTTAAGGTCAGGTATGTAGTATTTCCTAAGGCTTCCCTGTGTTTAGGAAAAATTCACAGAGAATCAGATGTAGTTCCAAGGCTTTGTCTCCTAGAGTAGGCCTCAAGAGACTGTGCTGTGTAGAACGTGGATGAGCCTCACCAGATTCTGGTTCACACAAAGATGACAAGGCAGAATCCAGGTCCCTCCTTGTGGCACTATCTTCTGTGGGCCAGCAGTAAGGTCTAGTCATAGGGTCAAAGTAGCGAAAGTGACATTTCAGCACCACCATCCATGCTGTTCCTCAAGGCGTTCTCTCTCAGACACCCAAATGGTCCATTCCTCACTCTTAAAAGCCCTCCTGGACCACCCTCTCAAACTTGCAGTACATGCTGCAGTCTACCTCTTTCCCTACCTTATTTTCTGCACGTCACTCAATCAGCCACATATGTTAGAGGGAAATTGCTTGCTCTATTTGCTTGCTCTTTTTCCTCTTAAAGGTGGGCTCAGTGTCCAAGAGGGACCCCAGTAATAGGAACAAGGACTGTCTCTGACATGAACTCATGGGCTGGCTCTTTGATTACCTCCACCTGAGGGGGGAGCAGCCTTACCAGTCCACAGAGGAAGACAATGCAGCCAGTCCTGATGAGACCTGATAGACTAGGATCAGATGGAAGGGGAGGAGGACCTCCCCTATGATTGGACTGGGGGACAGGCATGGGAGAAGAGTGAGGGAGGCTGGGATTAGAAGGGGATGGAGGAGGGGTACAGCTGGGATACAAAGTGAATAAACAAAAAACAAAAATTTTTTAAATTTAAAAAAATTTTAAAAAGGTGGCACATGGTGACTTACTGAGCTACTGGGCTGACTGACTTGTCTGGGTTGACTTTTATAAATTAACCTTTATGAAGGTTAAAGGGGAAATGATGCTTTTTAAGCTTGCTCCACTGTATGGGTCATAGAGAAAAGGTTCATTGAGTGGTAGCTATCTTTGTAACCAAAATGACGGAGGGGGGGGCTAACCCTGGAGGTCTTGTAGAATAGCTCTCATTCCACACACCGTCCTTTCTAGAAGCCACAGAGGAACTACCTGGCAAGGGCAAGAAGCAGTGAAACAAGGGAGCTGTGACAGTCTAAAGGAACCTCATATGACCCGCTACCTTTGTTCCAAAGTAAATGACAATCAGGAAGAGTTTTTTTGGGGGGAAGAGATGAGATCCAGTTTGAGCCATTGCACAGTCACCATGACAACAATGTGGTGCCTGAGAGGTGAGTTAGGAGCTTGCTGCAGGCTTCTGGGTGCAGGCAGCAGAAGGGGTGACCTAGAGTTGTGGGGGTGGGGAGGGCGGGGAACACCTGTTCAGAGGAGGCTAGCTGCTAGGCTTTAGCCCTGGGACTGGGGCTTGATGGCTGGACAATCAGGACAAGTTATTCAACTTCTCTGTGTCTAGGAGTCTTCACCTGTAGAATGTAGGTAGTGGTGCATGAGGAGGTCTTAGTTAATGGGGTTTTAGATATATTTACACTTAATATAATTACTAATGTGTTTGGTTTTATCTGTTACCTTACTGCTTGTTTGATGTTTGTATCACCCACTTTACTTTTTAACTATTTAGTTTTTGGGTTGTTTTGTTGTTTGGGTTTTTTGTTTTGTTTTGTTTTTTGTTTCATTAGACAGGGTTTCTCTGTGTAGCCTTGGCTGGCCTGGAACTCACTCTGCAGACCAGGCTGACCTTGAACTCACAGAGATCCACCTGCCTGTACCTCCTGAGTGCTGGGGTTACAGGTGTGCACTGTTTAGTTTTTATAAATGACTCCACTGCCTTCTACCTTCCTTCTGCCCTTCCATCTCTCCGACTTAATTTATAGCTATTTGTCTCTTCTTTCTTTTAATACACCAAGCGTCTGTGTGTATGTAGGTGTTGTGTGTGTCTGTATGTGTTCATGTGTCGGTGAACATGTGCATGTGGTTGGACATGTGTGGGCTTACATGAGGGAGCCAGAGGTTGACATTGGGTAGCCTTCTCAGTTGCTCCCCACCTTGTTTTTTGAGGCAGCCTCTTATTGGTTTGACTGGGTTAGCCCCAAGCTCTAGGAATCTGTCTGTCTCTGTCGCCCAATGCTAGGTTACAGAGATTCGCCAACCCACTTGGATGCTGTAGCTAAAAACTCAGGTCCTCTGGTTTGCACGGCAGATACCTCACTGGCCTTGTTCTCACTCTTCTCCAAACTGACCTCATACTCAGCCCCCTGCCTCCACCTCTGACTTTAGTTGTCATTTAGCATCTCACCGTGTACTTCAGGCTGGTGAGTGACCAACTCACCCACCCCGAATGCTGAGATGACAGGCGTGTGCTGGCTTTCAACATTGCATTCCCACCCCTCAGGGATTTCGAATACATTCACTCTCTTGCTCTTTCTGTTTGCTATTCTCATGTCTTCTAAGTCTATGCACATTTAGCAGTATTAACGCTACACAGTCACTATTCACTTAGATTTCCCAGGACATTTGCTTTCGTTGCTCGTCAGTCCTGTCTATAGTCCACCCTGGGACGGGTTTTCTTCTCCTTGAAGATTTCCTCTATTCTACTTTTAAGCCTGTGTTAATGGTGCATTCTCTCAGGTCGTATTTGACTAGAATTGTCTTTATATTTTTAAAGAGGAAATCATTTGTGTGTATTGATCCATTGTGTGTCTTGTCATTAAAAGACTGTTAACCATTTGACTGAGGGTTGTCTGCTTTAGGCACGACAAAGGGCCAAACAGCAGCAAGGATCTTCTGTATTCTAATTGAAATTGTTTCTTTATAGTTAAAAGGAAAAGGAAAAAAAAAACTATATCTATCTATACATCTCTCTCTCTCTCTCTCTCTGTGTGTGTGTGTGTGTGTGTGTGTGTGTTATTCTGGAAAGTAAATAATTCAGTCTAGAAATTAGGGGTGTAGTTCAGTGGTAGAGTGTATGACTAGCATACCCCCAACACTAGAAAAATAAAAAAGAGTTTAGTTGGGCATGTCTCCTGATGACTGACATGCTCTGGCTAGACTTTTATGTCAAATTAGCACAGGTTAGAGTCATTTCGGAAGAGAGAACTTCAATTGAGAAAATACTTGCACCGTATTGGCCCGTAGGCAAGTCTGTGGAGCATTTCCTTAATTAGCAGTTAATGCTGGAGGGCCAAGCCCACTGTGGGCCGTGACACTTCCTGGGCTGGTGGTCCTGGCTTGTATAAGA